TAGGGCGTTTGCCTTGCATGCAGCCAACATGGCCGACCCGAGTTTGATTTCTCCGCCCCTCTTGTAGAGCCCGGCAAGCTACTGAGAGTATCTTGCCCGCACAGCAAAGCCTGGCAAGCTACCCGTGACGTATTCAATATGCCAAACACAGTAACAAGTCTCACAATGGAGACGTTACTGGGCCCGCTCAAGCAAATCGATGAACAACGGGAGGACCGTGACGGTGATCTCTTAGAGTAGGGAACACCAAATTTAACAAAGAAGCACCTTTTGCACTAGGGTAATAGGACTTCAATTAAGGCGCTTGCCTCGCATGTTGTCAACCCCCATTCAACCCCTGGCACCCCACAGGGTCCCTGAGCATGGCCAAGAGCAAGTCCAGCTGCATGTGTCCCCACAAAAAACCCAAGAAAAAAGAAACTTTTTCATCAGGATAGATCCACTCATCTTTCAAGCTGGTCACCAGTCATTTGACTGTGTCGAAAAGATCAACAATAAGAAGGCTCATATCCAAATGACTCTTTCCATTCCTGTTGAAAGCAAACTGGAATGAAATAAGTACTTACTTGTTCTATCAGTCATATGATAGTAAACACAACTACTACGACAAACAGGTTAATTTCTGAAAAGTATATTTGAACGTATTTAAGTTTTAGAAGGCTTACGTAAAAGACCCTGAAAAGTACTTAGTATTTGTTATACTTATTATATTTGCCATTCAAATGTGCCCTGAGTTACTATAAAACAAAAAGTTGACCCAAAGAATAAGCTGAATTACATCTACATGTCAATATACAAAAAGGTTCAAAAAAAAAAAGGGGGGCACCTTCTAATTTGCGTGGGTACCATCACTGTCACTGTCCTCCCGTTGTTCATTGATTTGCTCTAGCGGGCCCAGTAACATTGTGAGACTTGTTACTGTGTTCGGCATATCGAATACGTCTCAGGGAGCTTGCCAGGCTTTGCTATGAGGGCGAGATACTCTCGGTAGCTTGCTGGGCTCTCTGAGAGGGGTGGAGGAATCGAACTCAGGTTGGCCAGGTTGGCTGCGTGCAAGGCAAATGCCCTACCCACTGTGCTATCGCTCCAGCCCATGGGTTCCATAAAGCAAAGGAATAGTGGTACTTGAGAAAATTCAACATTAGAGATAAGAATGGGACCAGAGAGATAGTACAGTGGGTTGGGCACTTGCCCTGCACGTGGCTGACCAGGGTTCAATTCCCAAAACCCCATATGGCTCCCTGAGCAGAAGTAACTGCTAAGCATCGTTGGATGTGGCCCCCAAGCCCAAAAAGAAAGGCAGTAAGAGTATACTATTTTCATTTAGGGAAACCATTAAAACAAAGTTACCTTCACGTGAGCCATACAAACTGCCCCCTTAATGCCAGAGACTTGCATACTTTTAACATTATTAAATATGGCAAACATAATTGCACTGTATAACTTCAATGGAAAAACTGCACACTGTGTGACTTCGTCCCTCAACAACATTGCCCTGATGGGGGCTCTACCGCAGCTGCTAGTGCCCTCATGGAAGTTCCCACAGAGAGATGGAGTAGCTGTCTCACCAGGAGAGATGCTGGGGAGGAGGAGATGCCTGGGAATCGTGTAATAAAATTAATACCTAAACTTTTCTAATGTAACATGTGTACATCAACAAGAATCCAAATAAAAAGTCACATACTTGTTTCCTTTAAGCATATTTAATATTTGAATTCTCAGTTTCTATTTTCCCAGACCCCAGAAAACAGTTTTTAGATGACCAATATTTTTGTTCCAGAAACATACAGCCTTATCAGCTAATTCATAAAAGAGCTATTTTACAAAGGTACATCTGGATAATTAGAACAATAAAGTCTTTTAGGCATTTCAAAATGTGATCAGTAAAAATACATGACTATTAATAAAGTTTTTTTTTAAAGATAGTTCCAGATTTTTTTTCAAAAGTAATTTCTGTTAAAGAGTACATGATTGTATGGTGAACAGGAAGAGCAATTGTTCTAGTAGGAAGAGGCTTATTAAAAACACCCAATGGCGTGCACATGACAGTCGCCATCTTCACAGGACATGGCTTAGCAATCGGCACCTGGGAAAGACAGACAGGGCTCCATTCTGGGGGTACATGTTTGTTTCTACCAGTCAATAACCAAACCATCAGGACCAGTGGGGAAGTCACATGGAACAAGGCAAAAGGAACTCTTGAGGAAATAACAATTTCATAGGTGACTTAGGAAGGGAGTGGAAAAGTCAGGAGAAAAATGTGATTTACAAAGCGCGAACACTGTAACTCTAGGGGAGAGCTGGCTGGAGGCCCTGCTAAGTGTCTGTTCCGAGGCCTCTACACAGCTCTCAATGGCGCCCTCTGTGCCTACAGGGAATGAAATACTGACCAAGACTCTAGCCGCCCCAAAAACCTCAGATGCCACCTTAATAAAGGGAAGACAGTATGCAAGGAAAAGAAACCTCACAAGACGCATACTTATTTCGTTTAGTTTCTAATAAGAAAAAAAAAAAAAGACTTTTGTCCTATATTATCACATTAGCTCCTCCCTCTTAGCTCGAAGAACCAAAAATTTTTCCCAGAGGGGACTCATCCTTTTTAACAGTTGGGAGTTGTTTTTATGGAGGGGAAGAAATCCAAAAAGCTTATGAAATATACCTCCTGTGCAGTGTAACATAATAAAGAGTTTCGGCTTCTGTTCTAGAAGGTAACTGGAGCAGTCCAAGTTAGCTGACTCTAAAGTATGCAAAACATATGGCTTCCAGGGAACAATCACGGTGTTAAATTATAGCATTTTGGTGGCTTGCTGATTTGCCTTGATTAAATCTGCTCACTGGAAAGAGACACTTGAATGTAATTTCCCACTTAACTTTAAAGGAGCCATCAGGCCCTCCAGAGAGGGCACAGGTCACAGCGGACACCCCAGGGGCCACAAGCCAGCAATCCTGCTCTGCCCAGTCGCTGCGTCCGCACCCTGGGAACTTCCCCTTCGGAAGGAGAGTCCAACCTCTCGGCATGTGGCATCGAGAAGGCTCTGATGGGAGCAGAATGCCTCACAGACAGGATGAACACCTGACGCCATCATCCCGAGGGCAGACAGATGGCGTCAGAGGAACAGAGGCTTGATTCTAATGACCAAACGGAAGGGGCAGAGGTGAGGGAAGGACTGGAAGGAATCGGGCTGTGAGGTTAAAAACAAAACACCGGAAATCGTGGGATTTTTTTCAGAACGAGCCAGTGATATGGAGCACTTTTGAGAATCTAGATGATCATTTTATTTGAACTGCTGGAGCTATGGTCAGAAATCTCCCCAGTTGGCCTTGGGACCGTTCCAAGGAGAGAAAAGCCAAGCAAATAGTGCTAAGGACAAGCTATTTGTCGGGGCGTGGAGGAAGCCAACTCTGCTGACCTACAAAGCCTTTGAAGTGAGTGTGAGGAATCATGAAATCACCTTGTAGTGTGTAAAGTTGGGATGGAAGCTCTATCGGGATTTCCCTTTCTCCTGATTAACTACCACTGACAGTCCTGGTATCACAGAGCAACGGCTGGGAGTGTCGCACCCTTTCCAGCAGCACAGCTGAACCATTTGGTTTCTACTTGCTTCTCTTAAGAGATACAGAAAGTTCAAGTTCCAAGCTTCACTTATATATATATATTAGCTTCTGCTTCTAAAATTTTTTATCCCATTTTAATTTATACTTGTCCTATGACTCAACATATAATTCTAATTTATAGATGAGGTCCAACGTTCAAAAACATAAATCAGTTTTGAAAAGACAAAAATAGGAACCTGGAGACCAATGAGCTTATTAAGTTGTAGTGGTGTTTACAAAAGTGACTGGGCATCCTTACTTGTGACAGGGGAGGGGTACATATTTATATATTATATATACACACACACATACACACACAAAGAAATGTGTATGTATATAATCTAAACTTCAGGAATAATAAAATTATATCCTGATGAGCCACAGAGTTCAGAGAGTACTACTGAAAGACAGGAAAAATTGATGAACTCCTTGGCCTAAAAACAAAATTTTAAGATTTGACAAATGATTTTGCTTTAATTGGGGGGGAAGGGGGAGGAGGACAACACCTCCAAAACATAGATACCTGATGTACAGAGAAAACCACAGAGGGTGGAGATAACCACAGGAGTCTGGAGTGGTCCGTCCAGGTCCTCGGGAGGCCACGAGACTGTTCCTGGCGCTGAGTGGGCAGTGCCCAGGCTGCCCCGGGATCCAGTGTATGCTCTGGGCTGCAGGTCCTAAGGCCCTTCGCGCAGTGGTGTGGGGCGAGTGCCCGCAGGGGAAGCAGTTGAAGGAAGTGCTTCAGGAGCCAGACTCTGGCTCTGCCTTCTCGCCACACCTTGCTCCAGCCAGCTCCGGGCTCTCCTTCCAACTCCAAGAGCCCTTTGGCACCATCAGTGCAAAAATGAAGAGTCAAACTTCCAGGTACTCCAATTTTACTGGCCTTCTCATCAGCAGTACCCGTGGCTAGTGCGAGCCCTCGTTCAACTCAGCAGTGACTCAGTCAGAGAACTTTCCAGACCCTCAGACCCACGCCCCCTTCCCCACCCTTCCTCGGCAAACCAGCTCTGCCACCAGTTGAACCATCTCCACTTGCCTGGTTTTGCTTCCTGCTCACTCTGCAGGGCTAATTTAACACAAGTGCCAAAGTCTAATGGATAATTATAAAATTGAAACACCAAGAATAACAAATTTATAGTCAAGAAAATAAAATTTGCTCTCCTTTCCCTCCCTAATCCCAGCCCTCAATAGAAAAGCAGCCCAGAGAAGAGAACACACCCATCTTCAAGCTCCTCTATTTAGTACACAGAGGAGTCCTGCTTGTGGAGGGGACCTGGCGACAGGGCAGAGGTGCCTGCCCCTGGGGAGGCACTCCACCCAGTGGCCAGGGGTGCTCTCGACCTGTGAGGTGCCCTCTGGACAGCTGGCAGAAGGCTCCTCCCTCCCTCACCTCCCTCCCCGCCTCCTTAGCCCCATCCCCACCTCTGCTTCAGAGGCGACTGACCCTTGGGTGTACAAAATGCACAGGGCTACAACTCACAACTCAATTAAAACGAAACATGGCAAAAAGCTCTTAAATGTGCTTTCAAATACGGAATGAAGTCAAATAAATACATCTGATTCTCTCTTTTTCTTAAGCCTAAGTAAAATTTCATATCCTACATCCAAAGCTCTATACATTTGGTTTTTGTTCTGAATCGAAATCGATTCCCACAGTGAGGCGGGCAGAGTGAGGGGAGGCCCCTCCCTCCCTGCCAGACTAGTGCAGCGGCCAGACTGTGAAGAACCAGTCCCGGTTGGGGGCCCCGAATCTGGCAAGCCCAGGGGAGTCACTGGTAGATCCTCTGTCACACCCTCTCTCTGCATCCACGGCGGAGCCAAGATGTGGTGACACAAGGTTGATGCGCCAAGTCCAGCCCCCTTCAGTCACCTTCAGGACACGCGGCTCTAACTTTTATCTGAGGATCAAATCAAGAAGGGAAAAACCCAAATGAACACTGCAGAGCACCGTGGGCATGCTTCCACCAGGACTGGGTTCGCTGGGACCACCTCAGCTGGGGCCATGGAAGCCAGTAGGTACAGACTGCAACTCCTCCCCACGCTCCACTCCCTCCCCACCCGGAGAGACCCACAGAGCTGTGCCCCATCAACCAGAGCCGCCCAACAGTACCAGCAGAGCTGTCGGGGCGGCCAGGCCTGCCGCCCCCTGCCTTCTGTTCTGCAGAGGGAGAGAGCGGGTGGTACGGGAGATGCTGGGCAGAGCAGAGCCGCAGAGCAGCCTGTGTGTGACACATGGTCTTGAAGACCAGCCACGCTCCAAAGACGAGGGAGAACTGGGATTTCAGCATGAATCACCGGGCCACTCAGGAGCCCACGACATACGCACACGTACCTGAGTGCTTGTCTATGAGGGCTGATCCGGCCAGCCTTTGGCAAAGAGTGGTGTAACTTTCTTCCACTTTCTGTAAGATAAAACCCAGAGAGTTGGTTTTCATTGGAATGTCTTAAAAAATTACTTTTTGAAACTAGGAAAAAAAGGCTTTGGTATATGATAGGTTCCAAACTCCAGCATTAATGGCATTAAAAGCTTAGTCGGCGAGAGGGAGCATGTCCCAACATCTTAATTGTTTCTCCCTTGAATGATGAAAAGTTTTGCCACATGAAAAGGAAGCAGGTAGGGCAGCTGTCCCCCACCTCACAGTGACCCAGGCAGTGACGCTCTGAGAGTTGACCCACCCCCAGCCACATGTCCTCCAACCCCAGGAGGGCACGAACAATCAGGGAATATGAAGAAAAACCACAGAAGACTGGTCTGGTATGGAAAGGCTGAAAAAACTTTCACAGCCTCCACCTAAATAGTGTCAGGAAAAAAACTGCGTCGGGTCACGCATCTGTGTCTGCTCATGGCAAACTTTGAGAAAGTTGTTCTCTTAGAAACCACCACACAAGTCAGTTTTAAAAGTGTTAACAATATACAATTGGCAAAAATCCCATCCGGCCAGATTTTTAAACTGTTAAGAGCCACCAGGGCCATTTCTGCACCCATCAGCTGCTGCTTGGCGGCTTGTCCTGGCACAGGTACTGAGGCTTTAAAAGCTTATAAACCCAACTTAACGTACAGTTTAGAGAGCTTTTCCAGATTTTGGCATTCGTAAAACATGTTCACAGTTGATCTGGGACCTTACCATCCAGCTACACTGATGGACAGTAAGCACAAAGAACAAATCAAAAGCCTAGATATGCTTCCTGACACCAGCCTGCCACCCTTCCATCCCTCCTCCCTACAACATGTTTTGCCGAGAACCAAGGTCTTTGGCCACTGATGTCTGGAGTACCTTTAGGTGCTCCAGGTCAGCCTCAATCTTGCGAATGCACCTCATGATCTGGCCCTGGGGATCTGCACACGAGGAAGGACTCCGGACCTCAAAGCAGGGCTCCTCCCCTGTTCCCCAGCGTGTGGGGACCAGGCATTCCGGGGTGAAGGGTGAGAGAGCCCCGTCAGAGCGCGTGTTTGGAGGAGAATGTTGGGGCTGGTGGGTGGAGTCTGTGGAGAGAGGACCGGCAGGGCGCAGCGGGGGAAATGAGCAAGCGATCTCTTCATCCGTGGAGCTCTCCTGCACTGCTTCATAGCCGTCAAGGATCAAATAGTTTCCTATTGAGAGACACAACAGCTCATGAGATGCGGATGCATCACAAAGACTGCGGCCAAGCGAGACAGGCACCAGAACTCCAGGCTGGAGCTCACAGAAGTGCGAAAGCCACCACTTTCCAAAGTTTAGTTTAGAGTTCTTCAGAATTTCCCACTTCAGGCTGAACAGAACAACTCTTTTGTAATTTCCTACGAGTTAGAATCTCCTGCCCCCGTGCCTGGCGGTCCTCGCCGGGGCCCCTTGGAGGGGAGCGGGTTGAGCTTTCCTCCCTGCCCCAACCAGGGCTCTGGCAGCCGAAGACCTCCAGGACCAGCCATAGACCTCCAGGACCAGCCACCACCATGCTGAGACCACTCTCCGCACACCTGAAGGTACCGGCAGAGGAACAAAGGCAAGCGGGTCCCAGGGCTGAGATCTCCAAGCCTACTCGGATCGGGGCTGAGTGTCCTCCACCCAGATCTCCGAATTCCAGTAGGCGGGGGTCACACCCACCAACTGGCCCCCTGGCGCCGTGTAATGCCATCAACGGCCAAGACTCAGAGACTATAAAAACCAGCTCCCGGAACTGTGCGGCCGCATTTGCGGCCGTGCGACATCTTATTATCTCATTCTTACTTTGGACAAACTGGCAGGCTACCGAATGTAACCTGCCCACACAGCAGAGTCTGGCAAACTCCCCGTGGCGTACCCAATATGCCAAATACCAGTAACAATGATGGGTCTCATTCTCCTAAAGAGCCTTGAATATAACACTTTCTTAAAAATCTCAGGGCTATGATGAAGGAGACGTTACTGGGGCCTGCTTGAGGCAATCGACGAATAACAGGATGGTTGTGATTCGTGATAGAATCTTACAAGTTAAAAGTCAGAGACTATCAAGTCCCTGCATGACCTTGCCTCTGCAACCCCACCCCCTGTCCCGCCAAATTCCACTTATTTCTCCTTGGGTCTTCCCTCACTTTCCTCAGGCCTCTCCTCAGATACTAACACACTGGAAACCCTTCACCCTGACCCACTCATCAGCTCTCACTACCCCCAGCCCTTCCTCTGGCTTTTCCTACAAATACTCCTTACAACCTAACATCTATTTACTTGTTATGTACTTACCATTAGTCTTTCTCTATTTGTGAATTTTTCTGTTTTATTCAATGTAATACCTCCCAGACCCTAGGTCAGGGGTTGGTATAGAATACATTCAATGATATTTACCACATCAAAGAAACACACACACACACACACACACACACACACAATATTGCTGGGTTCTCAGAAAGAAAGGGACAGACATAGAAAGATTGCATTCATCTGGGGAACATAAAGTAACAAAATAGGAGACTAACACCCAAGAATGGCCAAGATTAGTACCAGGAATTTTACTCCATGGCTTGGAAGCCAACCACACATGCTAGGGGAAAAGGGAGTTCAGATAGAGAAGGGAGCACCAAATAAAGGTGTTGGGAGGATCCTCCCAGGATGGGAGAAGCATGCTGAAAGTAGACTATAGACCAAACATGATTGTCATCCATTGCCTCTTTTGCAAACCACAACACCCAATAAGAGAGAGAGAGAACAAAAGGGAATGCCCTGCCACAGAGGCAGGGGGGGATGGGGGGTGGGAGGGATACTGGGATCCGTGGTGGTGGGAAATGGGCACTGGTAGAGGGATGGGTATTTGATCACTGTATAATTGAAGTAAAAGTAAAGTAAAGGCCCTCCCGTTGATCATCGATTTGCTCGAGCGGGCCCAGTAACGTCTCCATTGGAGACTTTGTTGTTACTGTGTCTGGCATATCGAATACTCTCGGTAGCTTGCCGGGCTCTCCGAGAGGGGCGGAGGAATCGAACTCGGGTCGGCCATGTTGGCTGCGTGCAAGGCAGACGCCCTACCCGCTGTGCTATTGCTCCAGCCCTAACCCAAGCACAAAAAATTGTAAGTCTACAACTGTACCTCATGATGTCTCACTAATTAAAAAAAAAAAAATTGCTGGGTTGGTATTGAATACATTCAATGATATTTACCACATCGAAGAAACACACACACACACACACACACACACAATATTGCTGGGGTGCCCAAATGTTTGTTTTCAACATTCCAATCACAATGATTGAAAATGAAAGTTGAAATATGAAAAGAACTTGCCTGAGATGCGTAAATTAACATCCTCCTCCTTTCTGAGTGCTCCATCACCTTCTGATGGATTATCATCACTATGTGCTTCACGGGCATCAAAAAAGTGCTCTCCACTCTCATCAGGACCCCCTTCTGACTCTGCAGGAATCAGCTCTGGGGTCACGGGCATGTGGCCCATTACTAACATGTGACTGGCCTGCCTATCTTGGAATGCCAGTGCTACTGAATCCCGTGGAGCAGAAGATTCAGTTGAAGTCCGTGGACTATGACAAGAGGAAATGTCACCAGTTCCAGTTCGAAAGGGCATTTGCCCTTCCCCAGGATGATAGGCCTTTATGTTTTCTGCATTGTTAGTTCCGCTGTCCACCTGCAGCCCTGGAGACACTGTGCGGCTTCCTGGGGAATGAACCCATTCTTCCTGAGTGCTCTTCTCAGTCAAGCCCAGCTGGTGGACCAGCAACTGCTTCAACAGTCCCACTGAAAATCAAAGAGGGGGAAAAACACATTCACAGTGGTAACCCCAGACTTCCAGAATCAAACGAGAATTAGCAATCACTCCTAGTAAGTGCCTTTTTAGCAAAATACATTGGAAAAAAATCTCACAGTGATTTTTTTTTCCAGGGGGGGCTTTGTTTGGAAAATGAAGTAAAGTCCTAACTGGAGAAGATCTGTTATTAACCCAGTCTTGGAAAAAATCCAAACAAGCAGTCTTAGTGAGGAAATACTCCAAATTAAAAGTACTAACTAACCAGTACCAATGCCTGCCTCTATTCTTCCTTCCATCTAACAGGAATAATAATCCAAAGGTACTTCTTCAGAATACTGAAAAGCGACATTAAGCTAGATCCCCCAAAAAAGAGAAGGGATGTTCAATTTTTTCCAGAAGTAGACACTTCCTCTCTGAGACACTGAGAACCAAGTTCATTGGATATTGAAGCCTGGGGTACCTCTAGGTACTCCGAGCATTATTCTTTCTACTTTTATCATGCACTCAGAAAATTTATTTTATTATTTATAATAACCCAGGAATCTCCCCTAAAAAGTGAGAAGAAACTAAAACCATTTTACAATAGAATTTAATTGTAATGATTTGGTATGTTTCATTTTAAAAGATAAAACAGTTCTGCTAAGTAGCCTAGCTCCTTAGGTTGTTTGAGCCAGAATTATCTGGATGCAGGGTATATACCGTGAAGTCACCCACACAATGACAGAACCGCAGGGATAGATAATATCAAACAAACCCCCAGAAATCATCATGAATGCTCATTTCATAGAATCTGAAATAACCTAGGTTTTAAACAACTTGACCAGTTCCCTACTTCAACTCTGGTTTAATTTCTTTTTAAATTTTTTGATTGTTTGTTTTGGGGTCACACCCAGCAGTGCTCAAGGAATTACTCCTAGCTCCTCACTCAGATCACTGCTGACGGAATTAGAGGACCATATGGATGCCAAGGATCAAACTTGGGTCAGCTGCGTGCAAGGTAAGTGCCCTATCTGCTGTACCATCTCTCCAGCTCTCCTGTGGCTTACTTTCTATCATGTTCCCTTAGATGAACAGTTCCCACACAGATCTTATTACTTGCCCATGTCTTTCTGGTCATCATTAACATTTTATTTTGGCAGCCCAGGTGAGCAGGGGCTCCCAAGCAGTGCTCAGAGTCAGGGGTCCCTCTCAGTGATTCTCAGCCACTGGGCTAGCGGTTCAATGCTCAGGGGATAGAGGATCCAGTGTTGCCACTGTACTATCTCCTGGTCCGTTCCTAACTTGGTGAGAGATGCCATGAATCTTTCTGCCTTTGTCATCCCAATCTATCTCCCTCCCTAATCTCTCTCTAAAGTTCTAGTCTAAATTCCCACTCCCAATGATCTTCAACACTTATCAGGAACATGCAAATCAAACCCATAATGAGACAGCACCTGACACCTGCAAATGATTATTATCAAAAAGACAAGAAACAGCAGGTGCAGGTGAACAGCTGGGAGAAGGGAGCCCCTGTGCATGGTTGGTGGGAACTTAAACTGGTGTGGCTGCCGGAGAGGATCTAAGAGAAACTGCTCAGAAGACCCACAACAGAAACACAGGATGACTCAGCCACCCCTGGGCAGGATATTTAACCAAAGAACTTTGAATCCAAAGAACACACTCACTGTGGGGCTGGAGCCACAATCCAGAGGGGAGGGCTCCTGAACGTGGCTGGCCCAGTTTGATCCCCAGCATTTCATGTGGCCCAACAAGTCCGCCAGGAGTGATTCCTGAGTGTAAAGCCAGGAGGGACCCCTGAGCAACTCCAGGTGGGGTCCCCCAAACAAACAAGAAAAAAAAAACAAAAAAAAAAAAGCTCTCATTGTAATAGTTTTTATACCTGTGATCTTTGTAGTCCATACTCAGAAACCACTTCAACGTTCGCTGCTGAGTCACCCAATGAATACTACATAGTCATAAACAGATGAGCTCTTGGGTCGAGACAGTACAGTGGGTAACTGGACTTTCAGTACTCACTGTCTTGCCAGCAGTCAACTTGGGTTCAATCCCAGCATCCCATATGATCCCCGGAGCACCCACAGAGTCAGGAATAGGCCCTAAGCATAGCTAGATGTGCCCCCTGACAAACATAATAGATAAAACACTGCCATTTGCAACAACATGGGTCAACCTTGAAGGTTATACAGCAAACTGTAGAATTTCTCTCAAATGTAGAAGCTATAAGATGTTTAGGTTATAAGGACAAAATGGTTACTAGAAGGAAGGAGTTGGATAAATAGGGGAAAGGGTCAACTGTGTGGGAGATAATGGAAGTCATGTTGGTGATCATATATAGGTGCTCAGATGGTGATCACATCTCAAATCATAATGCTGTACACCTGAAACCTGTGTAACCAATGTTATCCTCACTGATTCTCAAAGGGGTTGCTCTTCAATATCTTAATCTCATCAAATTTTAAAACTGAATCCATCATTTTTGGCTAAAAAAAAAAATGGTTGGGGAAGGGACTGTGGCAGGGCCAAAAGGATAGCTCAACAGGCTGGGCACAGGCTTTAGATGCCAAAGCCATGGGAGCAATTTCCAGCACTGCACAGTTCCCCCCGAGCACTGCCAGGAGTGGCCCCTGAGCACTGAGCAGTGAGTAGCAGACTGAGCACCACTAGCTATGGCCCAAATATAAATCAAAATTAAAAGAACATGTGACAGTGGCTGGAGGTGGTGGTCCCTTCTGACACGAGTGCTAGGAAAGAAATTATCTCTTAATATTACCTTTCCTTTGCCTTCATCTAAACAAGCCAATTTGTTGAGTCATTTTATTTTTATTCCTTTGACATCAAATCTAGTCCAAAAACCCTTTTAGCCTCCAGCCTAGATCACTGCAATAGCTTACCAATAAGTGCACTGCTCCAGACCTCTTTCCATTCAAATCCTTTTGCAGCTCTCAGCCAGATTAATCTTTTTTTCATTAGTCATACCCTCGCTTAAAAACTTGAAATGGCACTCTACTCCTGGAATAATCATTCTCAGCCTTTCCTACCTCTGCTACACCTGAGAGACAGATCCACTCCAGGCTGGAACAGCACTTCTCAGTCACCCTAGGGAGAGCTGGCTGCAGCGATCAGAGTGGCAAGAATAAATCAAACTCTCTGTTGTGGGTGTGTGCTAGAGAAAGCCAAGCTACAGTGACTGCCATAGTCTCTACAAAAAGTTTGCACGCATCTGTGTAACTTGAAAAAGCCTTCCACACACTCATGTGCCATCGTAAGGCACAGAGGACTGTCTGATGTCTGATGTCCAGGCCTGCAAGAGCGGAGGCCAGCAGAACACCTATTCTTCCCACCGGCTGCACGTGGCGCTGCCAGTCACAGGGCTCACCACAACCAACTGCTCTACTCTGCTCTCTGAAGACCCGAAGATTCTCTGCCTCTGTGCTTTTGGTCCTTTTACTAGTCTTATTTGAATAACCTCCATTTTTTTGCTCCTATCTGAGTCTTACCCAATCTTTGGTCATCACATCTCTGACCTCTCAGTGTCAGCAATAACAGCTCAGGACCAGAGTGATAGGACAGGGTTTAGGCACTTGCCTTGCATACAACTGGCCTCAGTTCAACCCACCACCTCCTGAACACCATTAGGTACAGCCCTAGAGCCCCCTGAGCACTGCCTGGGTGGCCCAAGTAATCCTGAGGACCACAGGGGCTCAAATGGCGCTCTTCTTGGCCGCACACTGAACTGCTGGCCCAGTTGCCTGAAAATCACCAAAACGACTCCCTGGCATCCTGAGCACTTGGATGGATGTTCCTCGCGCCCTCCCCACCCCAAAACCCTCATCTCTCATTCTCTCACGGTTACCCCAACCAGATCAATTATGACATATGCATATTATTTAATTACTTATAGAAATGGGAGGCTTCCTAGTCTTTTCCCAATTAAACTGAAAACTCTTAAAAAGAAGAGTCCTTGTATATATGTCTTTAGACTCTTCTTTAACTAGCTGCAGTTTTGGCTGATGCAACTCGGGTGCGCGGCAAGGATTTATGCTAACTGCAAATGAACTTACGATTCCGTAGTGCATCCAGTGCCCATCGCTCTTCTGAGATAGGCAAGTGTGGATCCAGGGCTGTGGCCGAGTCGTTCCCGCCAGCATCCTTTAGAGTCCCAGCTTCATGCTGCTCTTTTGCAAACTGTCTCTCGGCCACAAAAAGATCGTCGACCTCTGATTTTCCAGAGGTGCCCAGTGAATGAGACTGAGGCTTCGCTGACATTAACGGAGACTCTAATCCCAAATCTCGGTCTATTCAATGGAACAGAAAAGGAAGAACAGATCTTAAACTTAACTTTTAAGTAGTTTTCAGGAAATACTTGAAAAAATAACCCTATAGGCTACAGTTTATCTGTTGAGTGAACAGTTCTTAGAGCAATGCTGGAAAGATAGCCAGCAGGCTCAGAGGCACAAGCCTGTTAAAGGAGCTAATGCCAGAATTATGATAAACCAAAAAAGTTCAACCTTCTTTGCATCTGATAAGTAAGAGACTATATTCTTCGTAAAAAATGTAATCAATCAGATTACCTGGACTCTGCATAACAGTGACTGAGATGCCGTGATGCTCTGCTTTCGACTTTGGAGGCTCTTCTTCATCATGGTCTCCTCTATGAAAGAAAGAAAACAGTCTTCCAGCTTTATGAGGTCCCTCAATAACACTGAAACAAAGCGAAGAATCGCCCACTCCCTCTCAGATCCAAGCTACTAAGTCAGCCCGACTGCAGTGAAAGGCGCACTCACTCGCAAGGCGGAGACTGGGGCAATGGGATTGGCTTTGTGGATTGTTCCTTCACCGATGCAGCCATCCGACATATGAGGTCCTGCCAGCTGCCGGGAGGTTAAAAAGAACACAAATACAAACAAGAAAGGAAAATGAAATGCCCTTTAAATACACCCGGGAAGCAAAAATAACAAAAAAAAATTCTAACCTAAAAGAAAACCTAACAATTTAAAGACACAATACCCAAAAGACTCAAAACTTCTGAAAAAGCAGAATCAAAATAAGATACATCAAGGAGTAAGTTTGTCAAAGAGCCTCTCTAAAAGTCTAAACGTGCTGGTTTCCATCTAGTTTTGGTTTTCAAAGTTCAGTTATGAAACTACAGCGTATGGAATTCTATTTAGGACAAAGAAAACCACCACAGCGTGGAGACACATACACATTCTTCTCGGAAACAGTCTGTGCCACCAGCTCGTAGATCTGGGCTCCGTTGTCCGACATGGAGATGACGAACAAGGCTTTGTTATCTGAAAAACAAAGACAGTTAAACCCTCGAAGGACATGATCTAGAGGCCCTGAGGGTCCCTTTTAGTCTAGATATAGATCACACATGCGCACTTTACTGAAAATTCACAGATTCATTAAAATTTGTGCAACTGTAAACTGTGCTATAATTCAGCACTACCAAGATTATAAAAGTTAGCACTGGGACATAATAATTTATTACAAAGTGTCAATCAATATTCCTAAATTAATGAACACCAAGATTCTTTTGGTTTTGTTTTGAACCACACCTAATGGCCCTTATGTGGTACTTATACACAGATAAGTACTGGGGACCATGAGGTGCCAGGGACCAAATGGAAGGCTCCCACGTACAAAGCATGCATTCCAATTCCAATCCTTAGCTTCCCAAGCCCAGAACAGCAAGTTAATTTGCATTTATTTTGAATTGCCCTTTCCCTAGGCTGTTACTAATATTCAGTGGGGATTAGAAAAAGAGGCCATACATATTTCTTGCCATTATAGAGCAAATTTTAAAAGGAATCACATTTCAGAGGCAGAGGTGGTAACTGGCGTTGCTTGGGGCTTTAGCCTGACTCTGAGCTCATGGATCACTGCTGGGGTGACATGATGTGACACCAACGACAGAATGGGGGTCAGTCACATACAAGGCAAGCGCCTTAACCCTCATGCTCTCTCTCCAGCACAGCTATCAAATAATTTGTTAATGCGCTTTTTTTTTTTTTTTTTTTGCTTTTTGGGTCACACCCGGCAATGCACAGGGATTACTCCTGGCTCTGCACTCAGGAATTACTCCTGGTGGTGCTCAGGGGACCATCTGGGATGCTGGGAATCGAACCCAGGTTGGCCACGTGCAAGGCTGCTGTGCTATTGCTCCAGCCCCAGTGTTAACGCATTTTTTTAAAAACCCAAATTACATATACCTGTTCAGTTTATTTCTTTCCCGTAAATCAAAAACCTCTCTAATGATAAAGTCTTTTCATTGGGGATTACTCCAAATTCACTGTCTTCACTGGTATTACTAATGATTTAAGCATGTAATAAAGACCAAATATGCAAAAATAATTTCCTTTAAAGCAGGAAACTACTCAGTAAATCTAGGTATCCTGAGTAACTTGGGACATACTTTCTTAATTCACCTTCAAAGAGGTAAATCAATTCCATGTAATCTGTCTAAGAATATAACTGGAACAAAGTATGCCAGTTTGCTACTCAAACAGCACTGAGTATCTTATGTTGCTTTGCAACAAACTTGGTGGCTAGTATCATTCAGCAGACATACTTGCCTGTTGCCACTTGTCGAACCAATACTGTATTCAACTTAATGACAGGGCTGAATGTGTGCTTGCTGTCAGCTGTAGATGCCAGAATCTTACTGTGACACCGTAACACCAGCCTGTCATCCTGCTTTTGCAGTAATACAAGAATGTCTTCCAGCAACAAAGTGTATAGGTCTAGAAATAAAAATGCAGAAAAGACAATTAGAACAGAAGTCCAGATGTTTCTTATAACAGTTTGACAGAGAAATTTTATTTCTCCTAAAAATGGTAAATGAAACTGTCTTGCCTTCTCTTTCCTTTTTTCTTTCTCTTTTTTTTTTGTTTCTAGGCCACACCCAGTGCTGCTTGGGAGATAATTTTGGTTCTGCACTCAGGAATTACTCATGGTGGTGCTCCAGGGACCATCTGGGATGCTGGAGATGGAACCCAGGTTAGCTGTGTGCAAGGCAAGCACTCTGCCCACTGTACTATGATTCCAGTCCCTTCTTATTTTATTTTTCAAGGATTAATTTTTTATTGTGTCACACCAAAGTACCAGTCTACAACTGACACAAAATTAAAAACAGCAGCCTGAGTCTGAGATGCTGTGGCCTGAATGCTGAGGCTCCTTGAGTCCCAAGAAAGATGGGACGGGGACTGAATCATGTCAGTGTCAGCTTCATCCCACATGAATATTCAAGCCACTTCAAATATAACAGAAGCACATAATTAGACCTCCTGTCGGTGCATGCGGAGCACAGAGCAACGCTGCCGCTCGCTGGCACTGCACGCTGTAGGGTTTTCTCTTCCTGGGTGCAGGAGACTCCTGTGCTGTCCTTTCGCACCACCATCCCACACCCCTGCAGACAGACATTATACCTACCAATTGTTTTATCTCTATTTACTTTCCAAACCAATGGCCCTTCATGAATCATCTTCCTTTTTGTTAAATCCAAATTCTGCCAAAAGAGAATTAATTATTTCCCAGCACACAGTGAAAGCAGAGTCCATATCTTCTCTCCGGACAGACTCAGTGCAAAAGGCGTGACAACTTACAGTCCCCATTATGACTGATACCTACTTACTGAATAGGAAAGGAAGACTCAGTTAAATCAAGCCACGGAAAATTTTCAAAAAGGGTTTCTTGCAAAATGAACATTCAGGAGAACTGTCTTCCAAACCTCACTCTAATGACAACTGTGTATAAAAATGAAGTTGCAAGACCTACCATTAGATTCCTAGCCCAGTGTCTCTATGAATTCCTAAAGAAGGAAGATGCACAATTTATCTCTAGGAGGCCAATGAGGTCCAAGGCTCTAATTCTAAGGAAGATTCTGAGGAATATCTCTTATGAAATGGCCTCACTGGTCTACTGTTATTGATCTACTTAGTAATAACTAATTACTTAGCTCTAGAAAACTCCATCCTCCAGAAGTTAAGCTAATGAGCATATTAGACTGCCTTTAGGTGAGTTGTTATACAAGACATAAAAGTCTATTTTAATAGCTAAAATAAACCTGCCAAACAATCACCCAACATGATACAAGAAAAAAAGAATTTTCTTTTCTACAAAGTTTCTTATCATTAAAACCCAAATATTAGAAGTGACAATGAGTGACTATTTTGCTTTATTCTTATAAAGGTTTCAACAGTCAAGCTGCTAAAGTGCTTTATAGAAAAATAACTAGGTCATCTTACTTTACTCAATAATCTTAAAAACTCCTGTAGTAAACAGCCCTATTCTCATTCTACTGTAGAACATGTAAATTAAATAATGTTATTCCTTACTCTCCTTTTAATTCCTGTCACAGAAAGCCATCATTTCACACAAAATAGCTCTCTAAAGGAAGACTAAACTGATTTTTCATGAAGACCAGACATTTAAAAGGAAGATAGAATCATATATATATAGACAGTCAAGGAGACAAGAACTCTTTCAGGTGATATATGCTCCCAGGGAGATGTTAATTACCTGCCAGGAAACTCTATTTGATATTTTAAATTATGATTAGACCATCTCTCACCCTGAGCTCTTCAACATTTGGGTACTCTGACATCTTCAGGTTGGAGGTATCAAGTCGACGCTGATAATCTTCTAAACGCTGAAAACAAGACAGGATAAAGCCAAAGTTCTGTTACTGCTCTGAGCATCAAAGAGATAGCTGTCCCAAGACCAATGTGCTCTGTCCACCTGCATTTCTGCTCTCTGCAACAGCAGCACGTGCACGAGCCATTCCTTCAGAGACTTTCTTCTCTCTTGGCTTTGGTAATGATACATTTCCTGACTCTCTGGCTGCCTTTTCTCAATTTTCTTTTCAAACTCAACGGACCCTCACTAGTTTGTATTTCTGAATATGTAAATCATGGCACAAAAATTCAGAAGATAATAGAAAACATATAATAAACTATGTCTCTTTTCAATCCCGTGCGCTGTTTTCCCCACCCCCAATTATCTCCAAAGAAGAAGCACTAATACTCATTTCCAGAGTAACCTGTGAGAACGACTCTAGGCAAACAGAGGTGAACATTAGTATTCTTGTCTCTATGCACACTGTGTGTATGTCCTTGAACAAAAATGAGGGCAATGTAACAGTCATACACTGAAATGGTAACAGGACGTACTCGTATATTTCTTCCTGGCCCCCATATACAAGTATCTGCGTCTTTCATTCATTAATATCCCTTGGAAATTGATCTACTACAAAGAGCTGTCTCATACTTTTAATGGCTGTAGATACTCAATTCTGTGAGTAAATTATAGTTGTTTTAACTGCACTTTACTACTAGAAACAGACATTATTTCAATCTTCTACAATAAAAAGCATAGCATTGCAATAAACGGCCTAAACGAATACTTTTGCACACATGTACATTTATATGTAGGATAAATTTCTAGAAGTATGTTAAATCAAAGGGTGTATGTGGATTCCCTAAGACTATAAGAAAGTATAAGAAAGTATACAGAAAATTCTGAATGTGTACAGTGAACACCCATATACCCAAAACCAACATTCCATAAGTAATATGTGCTAGGTTTGCTTTATTGTCGTGTCTACCCAATTATCCTTCTATCCTATTTTCAAGATTTATCTCAGAATAGGTCACAATATAACCATACTTCACCTCCAAACATTTTAGCTGTAGATCATTAACAAGAGTTAATTTGTTTAGGTTCTTAAGTTAGAATTTACACAGTAAGGAAATAGAGATATTTTACATGCAACTTTCCACATGTCTGTAATTAAACTCCTATCAAGATAAAAAATATTGCTTCAGAAAATTCCTTCCTTCTTAGTTTGAATCTGTTCCCACATATCCAGTGATAATCACTTTTCTAATATGGTTCCTATCATAGATTAGTTTAGCTCATCTTAGAGATTTACCTAAGAAGAAATGTATGTGTGTATTTATTTGTGTTTGGCTTCCTTCATTTGAAATAATGTTCATGATGTTTATCATGTTGTATCAACAATTCAGTGGTTTTTATTGCTGCCTGGTTCTAGTTTATGGTGAAACCATATCTGTACTATGTTATAGTATGATGTAAACACAGGTAAGCAGATATTGCCACTGCTCTCTGGGAAATCAAGTATAGAACTGCTGGCTCAAAGGACTAATTATGAGGACGTACATTTGAAATTCAGATAAATAATGCCGAATTGTCCCCTGCAGTTTTATCACTGCCTAGTCTAAACAATACATTTGAAAACACCTCTCCTAACCCAACACCTACAGCCTAATCAACAGAGTAGACATCACATCTAGTTCATCTAGTAGATCAATCAAGAAATCGCATCCAAGGCGATGCTCTTTTTAGCTCCTATAAGCATGCAACCTTGCATTTTTGTGGTGGAGGTGTGGGTTTCTAAGCAGTGCTGAGGGGTCTAGGCCACTCCCATCAACCCTCAGCCTGACCCTTGCCTGGTTCCTAATAGTCCAGTGCCTGCACCTGGCAAAGCAGTGCTGGGGGCACCAGCTCCCCTGCCAGGTGCTCAGGGGCCACTAGGGCACTCCTACCCTTTGATCTCTAGCACAGTCCTCTTAGAAGTGGGTACACTTCAGATTCAAGGGGGGCAGGTAGAATTTGGAGGGAGTGGGCGGGGGGGGGTGGTCTTGGCCGCTTCAGGGGTGATGTGTAACCCAAGACTATGGTGCACATCAACACCACTATGAACACATAGGTTTAAGTGCGAGAACGGAGGGAAGCATATCCTTATCGCTCCTCCTGCTTTCTGTGCATCTTCACCTGGTTCTCCACGTTCTCGCTCATCCTTCCCACGTATCTGGAACTTCTCCCTTCAACCCATGCAGCCACAGGTACACGCCAGAGACCTGGGATTTACTGTTGACGTGACCTTTCTTCAACTCTTCTCCAAATCACTCACCAAATCCTGTCAATGTTTCCTTTTGCATACTTTACCAATTCTTACACTTCTCTGAGTCACCATTTTTGCTGGAATAATTGAACTCTCTCTGTCCCTTTCCCCTTCAACCATTCTCTAAAGAACAGTACGAGTAATAATTACAAAGTGAGAAATCCAAGCATGACACTCTCCCTTCCAAATGTCAATAAAGAATTCCTACCGCTCTGAGAATACCGTTTTAGAGTTTACAGGACCTCTGTGTAATTTGCCTCTGGCCTACCATACCTCATTTGATACTAGTTGACCTTGTTCCTTAGAGATGATCCATACTAATCTAATCTTTCCGTTTCCCACTTACTGGCTTCCCCTGCCCCCATGACTTGCAAGATATGCCATCCCTCTGCACATCTGGTCCTCCCCTTCCATACTTTTAGTTTATCTCCGTGGTGCATGCTTCAGAGTCGGCCTTAAATAACAATTCCTCAAAGAAACTTTTGACAGCCATTCTCTGAGAGAGCATGTTCAAACTAGGTTCTTCATTATAAATTCTGAACAACCCAAGATTCTCCTCCATAGCAATTAACGCAAAATTCTTGCAATACTATAAGCTGTTCAATAACTTTCTATGTAATTGAGAAGCAAGATCAAAGCAGGCAACTATCACACTCATTTTCAGAACCACTCCACACCCACCCACTTCATTTACAGTAGATGTTCTACAAACATATGTTGAATGAACAGAACAACGAATAAATAAGCAAACAAACAGCTGGAGAAGTCAAAAAAGTCAAATACAACTGACTTTCTATCACAAATTAATCTGGAACATCACTACATGAATAGCCAAAATCTTTCCTGCCCATCAATTCTATAATGATGATTCAAGAATCATTTCACGGTCCAAGCTCCAGAGCCTCATCATGTCAGCCCTCACCTGCTTGCTTTTCTCTTCTTACCTGCTTGTTTTCTGCTTCCCTGACAGCCTGATTTACATAATTTAAGATCTGACGGCAGTGATCTGCAGCTTTCTTCACTTTCTCCCTTTCTGCAGGCCATTCTAAAGTGTGGGAAAGAAATTTAAAAAAGAGAGGAAATCAAAAGAAAAATAAATACAAATGTAAGATTTACATGTGTATCACACAGAGGGTGTGGTTTTATTTCAACAATTATAAAAAGCATACCAAAGGCTTTAAATACTTTTGTACCAGGCTAAAGCCTAAGGCAGAATATTAATTCAGGCAGTTCTTAGAAAGGTAAGGTTAATGGTAGGACTTTAAAACAAAGTACTAAGGTTTAAGACAAAATGAAAAGTATGGAATCTCAAAATCTCAAATCCAGTTCCATCATGCTTTTATGAAATATTAGGTCTATGGTGTCTATGGTGCAACAAATCCCAAGGAGTGGGTCTGAACATTCTCTGCAAGCTCACTTGAATTTCACAGTGCACTGCCAGTGTATCCACTAAACAATATTGTTTTAATGATAACAATTCAAACAACTCCAAAATAGTTTTCTTTAAATCTGGAATTACAGAGAAATAAAATGCACCATAAATTTTATATAATGAGAAGAAATTTACCAAAATGTGCTGGGTTATACTGAAGTGTTATGATATAAAGATATGGAAATCAGAATATTTAAAATCACAATCCTAGGGATTTAACATTATTAGAAAATTTTACCATACGCTTTGGAAATTCAAGCTCCATGCAACTGGGTAACGTGTGATTATTTAGCAGTATCTGAGTTTTGGTTGTTGGTTTTTCCTAAGATTTATAACCTCAGTGAGAAGATGGTACCTGTGTATTTGACAATATTATCCAACAGAAGAGGATACTTTGTAAGTCTCTGCATTTGGGTGGGGATTATATCCTTCAGCTGCAGACGACGACACAGTGGATTACTCTCAGCATCCTAAAATCAAAGTGAAGTAAGTGACTTTGTGATTCATACTCGAACAATAATTACCTAACATACTTAGAAAGTAAATACCTAGAGCATCATAGCTCTGGTTAGTAAATCAAGATTTAAAATATGCCAGGACATACCACTGTCACATTCTCCTTTAGTCTCATAATGTGAGGAGGGGAGTCTTATCACAAAATCAGTGGCTTCTCTTTAAAGCTAAGAGTTGCTCTCTTATGATCAACCATCTTCATCTTTCCTACAACTGGCATTCCTATCAAAAATTGACTAATCAGGGTGGGATGGCTCAAAGGACTGGTTCAAGGGCCACACACTGGGCACTAAATGCCCCTCACTCCAGTAATGCTGAGAGCAATGCCTGAGCACCAAGCACCAAGCCATAGCACACCCTGAACACTGCCGGTGCCCAAACAAGCTAACTCACTTGCTGCCCTTCCATACAGGCCCCATCCAGCAGTCTGGACAGGGCAGCTCCTCTACCAGGGTCTGCAGACTTTTCAGGCACGTTCTGGGGACAACCCTCCTGGGCTCTGATGCCATTGGTCTCTGCTACACAGAATACTGCTGCTGTGGCACAAACAAGCCGTGCCGCAGTGAGAGGGCTCAGTGCGGTGCAGTTTCCAGCCACGGCGCACACCATTTGTAGGAGCCCTGCCCCCTGGTGGACAGACCTGAGACCATGAAGGAAGATGGGCCTACCTAGGTACTGTCAACTGGCCATGAGTGAAATAGGAGACAGACTGGGAGGAGGCTCAGATCTTATCAAGTGGAGCCTTCGAACAGAAGCTCTGTCAGAAAGACAGAATCTGACTATAATGGAATGAAAAACACCTCTCAAACTGCACATGGTAGCCAGAGATGGCGAAGAGATGAAGGCATTCTCCTTATACAGTCAAGAGCAGTTTCAAGCCAACCACAGCAAGACAAGGATCTGTAAGAACTGACAAAGAAACAAGTTCTGCTAACAACCACTGAGCTTAGAAGACCCCACGGCTCAAATGAGCACTTCAGTTTTAGCTGCCATACTGATTTTAGCAGATGACAGTAGAAAAGCCTAGTGGATTACACCTGCTCTCAAGGGCCCGCACCGTAGGACAGTAGGTAGCCCCGTGCAATCCCCAGCATCCTATGTGGTCACCCAAGCACTACCAGGAGTGATTACTGAGTAAACAGTCAGGAGTAATCCCTGAGTATCACTAGGTATGACCCAAAAAGCCACAGGAAAAAAAAAAGAAATTATACCTGCTCTCTTAAACCACATCAAATGCAATGTAATACGTTCACGTTATTTTAAGTGGAAACGTAGTGGTAATTTTTTTAGAACAAATGAAAAACCAATACACTGTGTTCCAATAAAACTTTATTTACAAAAACAGTAAGAGGCTAGATAAAGCCTGTAGGCTGAAGTTTACTGAACCCTCATGTATACTTACACTACACCCTGGAGTATGACTATTAGCTCTACTCATTCCTGGACTGAATAATAAAAGTTCATTCTCCTCGTTTAATTAACTCCACTATTTTAAGTGTATAGGGATGCCATATCCATACTGACACGGACTTCTATATGAAGTATTTTATCCTGGCATATAACCTCTATTTTTACCACTCCAACAGCATCATTCATCCCTCCAGAAATTTAAGCGATAACATATGGGTTTTTAAAATAATACAGATATAACACATGTATAAGACTTAAAAATTTTTTAAAATTAAAAAAGGAATTCCCCCCATCCCCCTTCCATGACTTGTTCAACTCACTTGCACAAAGGTCTGGAATCGAGAATCCTTTTTCTGACGCGATTTGATCATTTCCAGGGCAAAAGGCTGGTTACTGCAAAAGGTGGCAGCAGCATGCCTCAACTTCTCCTCGCCTGGTCCGCTGAACTGCACCAAGAATGCAGAGAATATGAGAGACACAACAGAGACTAGGACAGTGAGCTCCACAGAGTCGGGCAAACGGTGAGACGGCAACGTTTCTTCAAATATTCTAGCAAGTATTCGCAAGCGACAAGAAAGAGAAAACTACATACATTAATGCTTCTCCTTTAGAAGGTCTGAGGAGAAGGTGGCATGGGCTGAGCATATGAGAAAGCCCTGGGTTCATCCCTGGCACCACACGGTCCCTCTGAGTATCCCCAGGAGTGACTTGTGAGCAATGACTCAGGAGTAACCCAAGCCCTGCTGGAGGTGGCCCAAATATCCATACAAATATACACACATACACAAACAAATGTCTGCCTCTGATACCTTCAGCTCTTTTCTGACCCTACTGTAAGGGTGTCTTGCTAAAAGTCTGTCACACTGACCCACCCCGCCTCCCCTTTCAGCCCACACCACTTTAAAATGGTAGACCCTGGGAGAATGAGACACAAACTTAAAAGACTAAATTAAAGTTTCATTTTCTTAGAAACTGCTTTCTTCATGAAAATTGCTCTCTTAAGCTTTAAGAAATCTTGGGCCAGAGCGATAGTTCAGTGTGGAGGGCATTTTGCCTTGAATGCAGCTCTCCTGGGTTCGATCCCTGGCATCCCATATGGTCCCGAGTACCACCAGGAGTGATTCCTGAGTGCAGAGCCAGGAGTAACCCCTGAGCATCACTGGGTGTGACCCAAAAAGCAAAACAAACAAAAAACCAAGAAGAAATTCTTAGTATTCCAGCATTCTCTCTTACAGTGAACCCTAGTTATGTCATACTGTTTTGGGGCCGCACCAATATTAAATTAACACTGTTTCCCCTGACCAAAACTTTACTTCGACTCTGCTGAGATGAGAACAGAAGCCCATGAAACTCCTTTAGAACATTTTTACAAATGTTTTACGTGACTTACATGCCATGTTCTGATTTTAAGTGTCTGGTAAGATACCTAACAAACACAGGTACCCTGTTAGTTGAGCGCTGGTGAGCAGCATAGCCCAGGGTGTGAGCATCAGGACCCCTTTGGGCTGTTGCCAGCAAGCACCACTCCCTAATGTTCCAACACCACATCTAAGGAAGTGTTACCCCTGGTCACTGCAACAGTAGCAGCAGAAGGGATGGGAAGGAAAAGAGGGAGCAGAATCATCCTAAACGCCTAATTTATATTCTAGCGCTCAGTCTTTATGGCCAATGTTTGCCCTGAATTAATCCACTGTACCAGACAGATACTAAGAAAAATGGTCAGTCCATTCCCGTTTTTCTCATCTTTGACCAGACTGTTCAAGAATATGCTCAGTTTACGTGATCTGAAATATTTTTTGGTGCACTAATGCCAGGTTCCACTATTTTCCATGTAGAATTATGCAGTTCAATAGATTATGATCAAAGACAGAATTCAATTCTGTAACTTCTGAATAATGAATCCCTCTTGAACCTTGATGCTAAATGCAAATGGAACTGCTTAGGAATCAAGACTGAGATCTTTTTTCCTCAGGGATGGGGCAAATGGTACATGGGAGCCAGTGGCTCCTCCTGTGATTCACGCCCAACTGGGCTGAACATCACCATGAGGCCCCAAGGACGGTGCTGCTCCAGTCTCCAGGGCTGCCTCTGCAGCACCAGGGGTGGTGGGTGATGGGCTAGGCTGAAGCACACCCTATCTTCTGAACCACCTCTCTGGTTCCAAGACTGATAACCTAACATCCTATGACTTGCAACTTTTTAGTCCACATTTGACATGAAATGGATGTCCCATTATGTCACACCACACAATTTCTGTTTCAGGTGACAGATTTGCTGCCAAGTTACTAGAACTCTTATTTGAGCTTTCACTGAGTCACAGAGAGAGTCACAAAATGAGTCACACCATCATAAAGTAGCCATAAGAGAATAAGAGTTTTCAAGGGAGCTAAATCTCCTTAATAGTAAATAATGTAAAGTGGGGTCAGGAAGAAAATGCTTCAGAAAGTTTAACGAGTGCAAGATCCTGTTCAATGAGTTAAGTAACTAAGAAGTGATCAACTACCGTGTTAGTAGATTCTGGACCATGGTCTAACCAACAACATAAGTGAGAAAGAGGAAGACTACTTTAAACAACACTCGAGTACTTAATCTTTTATAAAGTTATCACTATAGAAATGTAAGACTGGAAAAATCTGTGGCATTTCCTCAGTCAGCCTATGTATTACACTAATTTCTATGACCACATCTAAATCTAAGCTGGTCCTAGTGAACCTGTTAACACCTTGTGAATTATATCATCTACAGTATTATTCACTGTCTTAACTATAGTACCTGCTTTAACAATTTGGATTAAACCCCGTTTCCTCTAGGAAGATTTTCCCTATGTTCTAAATTAGGTTTCACTGCTAAGTATTCATGCAACCTGCATGAAAAATGAAGAGTGCAGATTGCTCTCAAATAACTAACCTCAATATCCCCATTGGAAGCGAGCTCCACTAGGGTGAAAGCCATGTCTGATTTGAGAGCTACTAAATCTCCAGCACCCAGAGCAATGCTTGGCACATAAATAGATACTGTGGAGTATATATTCTGACAAAAACTCAGACAGAAAAATAAAAAGATTTAAATAAAAAGATTTGACTTACAGTTACTCTTTCCCTGAAGAGTTTGCTTACACTACAAATAAGATCAGGTAATTTTCACCTTTCCACTGTTATAAGGGTGGTACTAGGTCTACAAATTGTCTAATGTTATAAAATATAATTTTAAGATTTGAATTATTGAAGGACAAATCTCTATATCATTTACATTAATTTCATCAAAATCTTTTTTATTCCATCTCCATTAGAACTGGAGGGCTGGAGCAATGGCACAGTGGGTAGGGCGTTTGCCTTGCACGCGGCTGACCCAGGTTCGATTCTTTCGTCCCTCCCAGAGAGTCTGGCAAGCTACCAAGAATATCCTGCCCGCATGGAAGAGCCTGGCAAGCTACCCGTGACGTATTCAATACGCCAAAACCAGTAACAACAAGTCTCACAATGGAGACGTTACTGGTGTCCACTCAAGCAAATCGATGAACAATGGGAGGACAGTGCTACAGTGCACCTTTATAACACACAAAAAAACTAATTTCCTTTTTCTTACTTTCCTTCTTTTTTTTTACTTAATCGTCCTGAATTGCAAAGTTATAGAGATATTTATGATTGCATTTAAGGCATATATTGTTCCAATACCAATTCATTTACCAGCACTTCACCAATGTCCTCAGTTTCCCTCCTGCTCTCCAGTCTGTCTCTGTGGCAGGCATTTCCCCTTCCCCATTGTCCTAGTGAGAACTAGTATCCTTAATTCAATGAATAACAGCGTTAAACAGTTTTTTAAAAAATTAATCAAGAGAATACATATAATCTATACCTTTTACCTTACTAGACTTGCAAAATGAATCGATCTGCATAGCTGAAAAGGTTATTTATTGAGCTTTGAATCTGATATACAGTATCTAAAAGACATTTAAATAAAATAGCAAATCTCCTTACCCATGTCAACAAATCTTCCCCAATCTGATCAATAACAGAGGTCTCATTCCTTTTTCGAACTGCTTTCATTTGCTCATTCAGTCCAACTAAGAAGAAAAAAAGGGAAAATATTTTAAGTAGATACTCCTTTCAGGATGTACAAGAAACTACACTTTCAAAACAGTAATTTTCAGATTATAGTTGCTCTAATCTCCTAGATACAGTTCTATTCTTACTTAATTTAATATCTGTAAGCATTATCTGAATAGAGGCCGAAACAAAAAATGAGCATAGGATGTATGCTACAGGTGTATCTAATATACATTTAATCTCAAGACTTCCCTGAGAACCACGCTCATAAAGAACCTATAGAGGCAAGTCTCATCACTGTTTCTTAAAATGCATCTCTTCAAAAGCAATGCAAGCCACCACGCCTAAAATTGTTACCGCACACTGGTGAAAACTAAGATCAGTTACAAAAGGATAAAAAGCACGAGTCTGATGGGCAGTTATTTCTAGGACCCTAGATGAGAGAAAGACTAGGGAAGCAAGGAAGGACCACAGAAAAACATGTGGCCTTCCTTACAAAAATTACTGTCTACAAAAATCCAAGATGACTCCAGCCAGGCAAAGCCAGCACGGCAGGGTTTCATACACAGGCTCAATGGCTCGGCTCAACAAAACAAACAACCCAATTCCTGGGAAGTATCCCACCACGCGACCATATGGTTTCCAAGTACCTGTAGACGTGTAATATTGTACATAAAGTAGAAATTGTAGATGGCATAAATATATTTTAAAGATACATTTTTAAGTGACAGACTAATCTTGACTACTATGTTTCTATCTTGACTATAATTTTATTTTCATTTTATTTTTGAGAGAGCAGGGATTGAAGCCAGGGTGTCACACATGCGAGGCAAAGGCCCTTGACATGCTTTAGACTGTATAGTACAGTAAACCCTATACTAGTACTCTGCAAAAGGTTGATGTGGGGATGGAGGCAGAAGTGGGGTTCAAAGGCCAAACCACTTATTTATACTGTGAGCTCACATATGTATTACATAATTTCAAGAATGCTATGTGAATTCATTTGTAAGATTTTTTACTTCTATGGTACCTTTATATATTCATAATATGTTACATCCTGGGTGTTTTAGAAACAAAGATCTGAGTCAATTTTTCTTACTGTGAAGTTGAAGAATCTCTTCCAAGTTTGAAAAAATTTTCCGTAGTTCTGAAGGTGACAGAATTCCTTCTCGAAACACCCGCTGATAGAAGACTTGATGAAGAACCTTCAGTGTTCGAACATGAGCTCTTTCAGTGTAGAACAATTCTAAGCAGAAGGAAGGAAAGCATGAAATATCGCCACACTCTGAACATGGCCATGAGAGCAAACATGAGCGTTTGCTGCAAGCAAGCAGCAGTGAGTTTCTGCCAGCCATTCAGAGATCAGGAAGGACATGGTGTCTTTGAAGTTACATTTTTATTCCATGAAAGCCATACTGGCTCTAAGAGTTTAACAGTGATAAATGAAAAATAAAATTCACACTATTCTGTACTAAAGTTAAATAGTGCTTCCCCAAGTACTGTTAATTTGTCTTTAACAGTAACATCTGTCAACTTCAACTAGAAACTTCAAATGCAAATAACACATAGCCTTTAAATGAACTCCCTTTAAGAAATAATAGTAGTTTTGGTCATCTAATACACCTATAAATACACATAACACTTCTACTGTCTCAAAGTTAGCAGAGAGAAGAAGGATTTTATTCAAATAACATCCTAAACGTGGCAGAGGGGAGAGAGCACCAATATCGCTCCATCACATGACCGTGAGGATAAAATAAAGACATGAGAACATACAAGCTCTAAGAAAAGGAATACATGGGCCTTAGTTTCCTCCTTAGCACTCATCAACTTTATGATCTTCATTTATTCAACCACCACCCTAACCCTTAACTTAGCCTAAAAGCAAAATGTTGGGGTAAATGCTGTTTCAATGACGTTTTAAGATATACCATGTTATATATCTTCAATATTCTAAAGGATAAACACTTTTTCTTTTTGAACTATCAATAAGTGTCACAGAACCATCTGCATTTTTAAGAAGTTTCATAATTATCAATCTAGTTTAATTTCTTCTTTGTTCAAAACAAAAGGTTAGCAGAAGCTTTGAAGCCAACTCCAAGGCTCCGGGGTACAACTCTAATAAACCTGAACATACACTAACCACTATCACAACAAACACTGATCAGACGCACCATTAATCACTTCCTGTCTTTTGATCTCGGACGGCCTCAGTCCCAGCAGCACTTCTCGGCTCACAAGCTGCTGCCAGCTGGGTGGGTCTGTTTCTAGGTCGTTTTCAAACTGTTCATCCTCACTCTGACTTTCTCCAAAAGCCAAGCTGTCAAACCTAATGAAGAAAACAACAAAACAATGAATTCACCTGGGAGGACAACAGGTGTCAGACAATGGAAAACAGCCCAAGTCTTCTCTTTTGCACCTCAGTCAGACTCCTGGGCATGACAGGGCCTCAACAGCTCCCTCTATAAATGGCATGTGTGGATTAGACCCATCTCTGTAAAACTTGTGCATATCAAGAGTTCTTTTATTAATACGAACAGATCTGTGCGTGGAGTTCTCTTCCATTAAAACAACCTCCAGAGGGGAACAATATATTCTGTAAAACATGCTTGGGAGGTAATTCAGGATAACTTACTTCCGAAAGGGTTTTGGCGTCCCATGTTCAGTCACTCTAAAACAATGGAGAATATAGTCAATATGAAAACAAAGGAAGAAATATATGTCAAAGTTATGCAAAGCTGGGCTAAACCACAATGGCTGATAAATAATTTTCGACAATATAATGACTTAAATATCAAATAACAGCCCCCCCAAACTTGTCTTATCTCATTTTAGTATCTTTCTAATATTTATCAGCAATAAGTACTAGTTCTTCACCCTTAATGCCCTGACCCTATTCCCCTCCACCGCAAAAAGAAGAAAAAACACACATGGGTGTGTGTGTGTGTGTGTGTGTGTGTGTGTGTGTGTGTGTGTGTGTGTGTAAACTCTACAAAGTACAGGAACACTCAACAATGAAGACTTTTACCAACATCCACCCCACTACTGGCTCTATTATTACCTCTCTACTTCACACTCCTCCTCCTGCACCTGGTCTAGCGGAGGCGGTGGGAAGTCAAAGATGGTATTGGGAGTACGTGGTGCACAGTCTACGGCATCTCCAGAGGCCGGTGCTTCTCCAACCTGCTTCGATCCTGTAGCAACAAAACACACATAAAATGGCATTAGTTCTTAACAAAGACAATGATCATAAAAGTAAATGTTATTTCCCAAATAGCTTCAACCTAATCCATACTACATTTTTATTTAAACAAGTGCAGGTTAGCTAGCTACCATATTTAATTTGTAAATAAACAGAAAAATAATTTTTAAGCAACTTTAAAAAAACAATATAGGACATGACCACATCAAAAGAGCATATGAAGAGAAATGTTCTCTTCAGTAGAGAACACTGAAATGTTAAAATTAAACGAAAGAGGATTCAGTCCTGTCTAAATAATCCTCTCCTCAAGTCTCCACATGACTGCATCAAAATTCTGCTACTTAGCTGAGCGGAACTACAGCACTAGCTCACCTGTGTCATTCTCTTTCCCGCTTTCCTGGGAAAGAGTGGCTCCTGGAGCCAGAGAAGACATGGAATTGGCTGGCAGACAACCAGCATCCGCTCCGTCACTGGCTAAAGCACTCTGGCGTGACTTAGCAGAGTCCTGGGGCTCGGGGCTCACAGATGAAGGTGCAGGTAAGTGTTTGGGGTGACGCTGCTTCTGCTGGAGCTCCATGGCTCTGCCGACTGAACAGGAAGCAAAGGTTAGCAAAGGTTGTGCTGTCAAACAGTGGGGGGGAAAAAATAAAAAAAGATATAAAGAATCTAGGAAAATGTCTGTAACCTACGTAGAAAAATATAATTTATTAAACTGAGTAGTAACAGACAGACAGGAAGGCAAGAAGGCCAGGAAGAAAGTCTAGGAATGGGAGGAAGAGAAGGAGGAGAGGCAGGTGAGGGGCAGCAGGGAAAGAGCTGATGGAGTAGGGATAAAGGGGAAAGGGAGGGAAGCTGCAAAAGTTAGGGTGCGGGGAAAGGTAGGTTTCACGAGAGGATATGAGAGCAAGGGTTGGTGGGCACTGCTAAACGAACAGAAGTCGGTCCAGCTGGAGCTACAGTCACTTTCAAGGGGCTCTATGCCAAGTCCCTTTTCTCTACAAAACAACTTTAAGACAATGCCTCAAAGACTACCCAGAACAAGCTCCAGCCTAAGCATTATCCCCACTCACGTCTGCCATCATGGAAAGCTAAAAGTGAGTGAGCTTGTACTGAGAACCCTGTCTGTGCTCACACAGCTCTGCATGCCTCCCATTCTAAAATCCTTCCTTCCCAAGTTAACTAAAGGTTTTCTCCTATATCCTTTAGAACTTGGTCAGCATCTGTGAAATGCTCCATCTCTCCTACCTCTTCTCTAAATTCTGCTTTTATTTTCTCAGTGTCTCACCAGAGGGCACTATTGCCATTTGAGTGAGAAGCCCTCAATGGCTGGGAATCCCATCACAGCCCCACGCCCATGGCAGGAGCATTCTGATTGTGATACTACCTGAGCTATGGGTCACACAGCTGATTGCCAGCTACAGTACCCTTATTTCTCCTGCCAGCCTCCATACTGGGTGAAGGTCTCTCCATTTTTCCTGCGGACAGTGGAAGACTAGGGAAAGAGCACAATGGGGAAACTCCGAGGGGAATGGAGTGAGGAAACTGTAGAAGGTAGGAGGAGGAAGGGAGTCCTGTATGCATATATAGGAACAAAGACTAAGTAAAGATGAGTGGATGAAATCTAGGCTTGTCTTGTTTCTTTCAATTTAACAATCTTAACCAAGACAGAACAAATTCAGAACAGTCGGTAAATTATGCTGTAGACAACTAATAATGTACTCCACTGACATTAAAGAAGATATAAGCTTATCACAATTATGCAAGCACGTGTACGTATTTAGCTCAGAAATAACAATGAATGGAAACAAAATACAATGGGACAACATTGGCTGTGGTTCATCCTGGCTGGGCAGGCTCTAACAGGAAGCTGCCTGAAGTGACGGGAAGGCAGCACTGCAAACTTCCACCTACTTGCACTATTGTCATGGCGACTTGGTCTCCTTGGGGGTCCTAGGATGCTAGGAAATCCTCTTCGCTTTCCTTTTTCTTCGCCTTCCCTATCTTTCTTCATACTTTGCTAAATATGAATTAAAGAGAAAAATAGATTAGTATATAGATTTCTCTTGCAGTTCTCAAACACAGAAACCCAAACCTAATGGTCACTTGGAAGAAAATGGCTAAAGAGGAGGCTTGGTACTTAAGACTGTAACTGCATCAAATTCGAAGTATCTTTCCAAATATTTTAGAGCTGACAATTTAAAACTGTCAGTTGTATAAAGTGGGAGTTTTATGAAGCACATATTGGGAGCTTATGATAAATAATTCTTTCAGCCATGGAACAAATACTCCCTTGAGTTCAAAATGTTTCACGGTGGCACGATGCTAAAGCTGGGTATACAATGATGAAGTAGTCCTGCAAGCAAACCTTCAGCTGTGATAAGTATCATACTCCTGGAAATGATATTGAATATAAATTCTTTTGGGGGGAGTGTGGGTGGGAAGAGGCCGAGTGGGAACTAAACTCAGGGCCTCACATCTCCAACAAATCCTCTACCACTGAGCTACAGCCCTGGCCCCTCAGGATCATAAATGAAAACACAGCACTGTGGTGGCTGGAAATGCTACTTTGGCTAGACTGTTATTTTCACTTTCAACTGTGTCATGATGAGTTCAAGTATGTCCAAATTTCTCCACAGATTGTGTGTTGTTGTTGTTGTTTTTGCTTTCCGAGTCACAACCGGCAATGCACAGGGGTTACTCCTGGCTCTGCACTCAGGAATCACTCCTGGCGGTGCTCAGGGGACCATATGGGATGCTGGGAATCGAACTCAGGTTGGCTGCATGCAAGGCAAACACCCTACCGGCTGTGTTATCGCTCCGGCCCCCAGATTGTATGTTGTTTAAGACAGGGACTATATTTTATCTTTTTTCTATCCACATGTTTAGTACTAAACTGATGAAAAAGCAAGTATGAAGAAGGAAATACTATAAGAAATGTAAAGGAACACCAGAGACCTGAAGACACTACTGTTACTCATTTTACCTTGATTTTGGGAAGGAATCCAATCCGACCCCGCTTATGCTCCAAATTTCGAGGTTCCTTCACTTTTACTCCCAAATGCTTCATGTACATGAGAATTACATACTGCATCGTTGAACTAAAGGGGGAAAAAAGATGAGAAAGAAGTCTTATTCAAAAATAAGACCTTGGAGGGAGGGAAAGGAGAGCAGAGTAGATACCAAATGACTTCCAACCCACATCGTGGGAACCTTAGAAAGAAGCCATTAAGTGAAAAAAATAAGGAATGAGGTATTCCTGGCAAACACTAGCAGAAACTACAATATATATCAAATAAATTACAGACCACCAGAGGGAGACAGTTTATATGTTTAACTTAAAAGAAAGAAATTGTCTTTTAGAATTGAGAGCAGAAGAGTTTTTTCTTGAAATTCTAGTAAGTTCCATTACCTCTTATCCTCCTCCACAGCCTGAGCGGTCATCCTGCAATTAAAAAATGCAAATTAAGAGTCATATGTTTAATTACTACTAAACCCAGATACCTAAAACAACAGAAATGATCAGAATATTTTGAACCTGTCACCTAGAATAAAACACTGAAATAGTCAAATCCCCCAAGAACTGCTTCTCAGGCTCACATCATCATGAATGCCCAACAGAGGCCCCAGGCCCTCTCCCAGCCTGTCTTCCTCTCACTCTTCCCTCCCCTTCCTACCTTCCCTTGGACCTGTAAACTGTTTTCTCACTCTTTCCCTCCCCCTTCTCTTTTATACCAAGCAGTAAAAACTAGTAATAATAAAATTTTTTTAAATGTCTGATAATGGAAAGTACTTCCAAAGTCCAGGATTTCAAATCAATGAGCATTTTCAACCGAATTAATCAATGAGAAAACTTATTTTAATCAAAAATACTTTAATCAATATCCAGAAAAAGGAAACATAGGAACTTGATTTAAAAATAAGAGCAAAACTGGAAAAAGCCAGTTTCTCAAGTAGTGTGAAAAGACAAACAGCCCCACACAGCCCACCTGACAGCCCCGCTGAGTTTGTCCAAAGTGTAGTTCAGGCATAACCTCAGGAAGCACTTCCATATACTTTTCTATAACTTACAACACTTCTTCAATTTTGGTGACAATCTGCTCTGCACAGGCGCGCTCCTTCTCCAAAGTCCCCCGGTCCTTGTCTCGCTCTGCATCAAGTTTAGTTAGTTCACTTTCGGCCAAGGTCAACCCCATACTACGTTTCTGCCTAAAGAGAACAGAAGAAATTTCCTGAGGTAACTTAAGGGAAAAACCATCTTCCTCCGGGGAGTTCATCAGTTTCCAGAGCCGTGAGTTTCTAACAAGAGGCAAATGTCACTGTTTTCTATTTGGGGGTCCATGTTACCTAAGACACTGGAGGGGAAAAATAATGCTAGAGACAATCACTCCATGGAAAACAAATTCTAAGGAACACACTTAGCTGAGACATAGCGCTGAGTCCAGATTCTGGATGCATATGGGATCAGGACTATAGACTGAGTCTCGCTCTAATTCTTTGGCCTCAGACGTTCACTGTGTTTTACTAACAGTGATGCAGAGGCAAGGCCTTGATACATTAACCTTCCCTGAGTTGAGGAAACTCATTCAGAACCTCCAACCCCAGCAGCTCGCATCTCCCACGCTTACCGAAAATCTTCCAAATGTCGCTGCACTTCTGGGTGGACTCTCTCCTGCATAGTATGAATGTAGTGGCGATGGAGATCTTCAGGAATCAGTTCAGGTCTTCTTTTTTCTACAAACAGAAAAATTAAGAAATTACTTGATCTAAAGGTATGTTCTGAGCATAACTGGCAAAACACCAAAGCTATTTGGCATTAACTTGAGGCGAGACAAAGAAAAGGTTTTCAATGCATTTCATCTCAGAATTCAGAATTTATCTACTTTTTGAAAGACTTTCTACTGTGATCCAGATGATCTATTAGTCACCATGTGACAGATAAAACCTGAACAAGCTATGTATCTATAAGAGATGTCATTTTCCAGGATAGTGATGCTTCAAACTTACCAAGATCTACTGATATTTCATCAGGAACAGAAACTTTCAGGTGCTAAAACAAAAATGCAAACAAAAAGTGAAATAAGGAATTTTCAAGAAATATACATAACTATCAGTACTTGAGTAAAGAGATACAACTTAGATACCTGCTCGTACACACAGTCACATGCACGCTCATTTACTGGCTTCCACTCTGAGTTTCATAACTCTGTACCTTCTATTGTTTAAACTTGAAAACTGCTTCTCAAGAAGCATGCTATAAGGAAACACCTATATGATTTTACTAGATGACAATATATAAATTTTTACAAGAGCCTCTGCTGGAATTATTCAACAGGACAGTGCCAACCTGATAGTTCGGGGGTGGGAGGCAGCTGGTGCCATCAAGGCCACCCTAGCAGTGCTCAGGGACAAACAGGGCTACACCTGGTGGTCCAGGGAAAGGGAGGGGCAGAGCTAAACACCAAGGATCGAAATTAGGGTCGCATGCATGAAAGGAAGATAGCCCTTTGAGCTATCTCTCTAGCCCTTGGTTTGGAATTTTTATCCCCTCATTGTTGAAATCATATGAATGCATATCAACTGCTTTTTTTCACTCACTAGCCTAATTATGATCATGGATAAGTCCAAATATACCCTTATCTATTCAAACATAAATAAATGATAACCCCCCTCTATCCTGTAAAAGTCATATACTTACAATCAATTTAGCACTGATAAAAATTAAGAGAATAATCAATAACAGATCTAATATAGATGCTAAAATGTACAATAAAATTCAAAGACATGGGCAGGAAGACTGGAAATCGGAGTTCAGCAATTCATTGTGCTGAAAGTAAAGGTTATGAAATTAACTTGTAACTTACTGCAGACCGATCCAGGAAAAACTGGTGAAACTCGAGGAAGACACGACGAGTTTCCTTGGAATTGGTCTGTTTGTACAGGTCAGAATAGAGATAACAGAGCTGCAAAAGGAGAAGAAAAAAAACAGGGAAGAAAATGAGATGTGGTGAAGAAGGGGAGCTGCTGGTTTCTCATTGAGTGGGATGTTTGAAATACACAGTTACCATCAACAATGAGATACTGCCAGATTCCCAGGCCTTTGAAAATGACATTTTAAGTATTTTTCCTATAGGTCATGGCATATTTAGAAAAGTAAAAGAGGCTCACTCATTTTATACAAGTGGAAATTTTATGAATCAATGTAAGAACTCTGAATTGGCTGAATAATAAACTACATACCAAAGTTGCAGGGTCAAACTGTGAAACTACATGATGTAAAAAAACAGCCAAGTGAGCAGGGCGAGACTTTAGCAATTCAATACTCTGGAAACAGCTGCATTGCCCATTGATCTAGGAAAGAAAAAGGAATCAGACATCAATACACAGGAGCAAAATGGAATATAAGATCTACTAACAGAAAGAACTATCCAAATTTCACTTTTACCTAAAAAAAAAAAAAAAATAAAAATTTAAGACTTAAAACTCACAAAAATTTATAAACAACTTATGTTGATTCCTCTGGAAATTTATACTCTCTTGGGGATTAGAAAAAGCCTAAACTTGGTAGAACTCAAGTTTACAAGATGATAATCAAGGAGGTCAAACATTCACAAATAACGCTTTAAAAAATATAAGAGAAAGGCTTTTTGCCTAATAATTAAATAGTTGTTTTTTTCTTCTGTTTTGGATTAATCACAAAATGGTGATAGGAAATGAAGCTGTATGGTTTTTAAGTAAGACAACTCCAGGAATATTAACATAATCCCCAAAATACAGAACACAGAAAATAGTAATAAGGCAACTAAGTCAACAATTTCCATGTAAGTTTTTGCAATATGCAGAAAATATAATTATCTCCTCAAAATAAAATCAATTCTACACAATCTTAGAAAATACAAAAGAAGAGAACATTATCTCAGCCCTTTCTGAGGTCAGTATTACCCAACTACCAAAACCAGACAAAGACACTATGAAAAAAGAAAGCTAGAGAACAATAGCTCCCATAAACAGAAGCCAAACACACACACACACACACACACACACACACACACACACACACACAAAACCCAACAACAACATCAACAAAACCCCCGAATTTGGCAATGCATAAAAAGTAAATACACTGCAACCACTGGCATTTATCTTAAAAACAAAGAGCTGTTCTGACATGCTAATATTCATCAATATAATTTACCAGGCAAAGTGACTAAATTAGAAAAATAATTGTTACGTCAACCATTCAATAAAATTCTAAAATCGAAAAAAAAACTAACTTTTGGGAATAGTTCCTTAAGCTAATAAAAAAATATACAAAAAAACTCTAGCAAGCACCCTATTTAGTAATACAATACTGAATGTTTTCTCTCAGATAACAGGAATAAGGCAGGGAAGATCCGCTGGTTTTACCACTCCAGATTCAACCTCATGTAACCAGTGCACTAAAGGTTACAAACAAGAGAAAAAGGGTCAAAAGACTGGAAACAAGGAAACAACTTTCTCTATTCAAAGGCAAACACAGCTGTCTTAAGTAAAAAAAAAATCCTAATGGGTTATTTTAAAAAGCAGGAGAGAGCCAGACAGTTAAGGCTGGGTGTGCAGGTCTGGGTTCAATCCCCAGCACTGCATGGTACTCATTTCTACTGATCAAAGCAAAAACAAGCAAGGACCCTGTGCTATGAACCAGTTAACTTTAGTTCTAAGATTTAGCTTCAAAGCCTTCCAAGTATTACTTCCAGAAATTGGTGGGGTTTGTTTTTGTTTTTGCCACAAATCAAATTTTTCAGAAAATTAGTAACTTGCTTCTTGGAGGAAAGGTCATCACCTGTTCATGTTCTGTACCAAAATCATCATCCTCTGCTCCAATAATATGCGGTGTTGTGCGTGTTAAGGGACTCCCAATAGGACACTGAGCATCCTGGGGAAAGAAGAGAAAAATGATCTGGTGATCAACTTCAGAGGAAGCACAAAGCCAAATCATTAAAAAGATGTAGCACACTCAACCAGCAGGATTTTTTCTCGGTTCTCTTTAAGTGTTTCATTTTCAAAGTGGTGGGTCTCAAATATTTAAGGCCATAACCCTCTTAAGCAACGGGAACTATCATAATATTGACTGTCATGTGGGCAGGGCAGGAACCCATTTCCTCTGGAAAATAATCAACCATCTTTACTTACTACACTCGTGGCTATATTCTTATGTACTGTTGATAGATTTGTAAAAAAAATAAAATAAAATAAAGGCAATAAAGAGGAAGCAAAAATGAGCAGAAATGGTACAACAAAGGAAGCAAGGGTAGAGAGGTTAATCAATGATTTCTATAAATTTGCAACAAAACCATCACTAAACTCTATTTTTTCCTTTCTCCCCTAGGGGGCCTCCCTAGTTCAGGGGACCCAGTGGTTACTTCCATTGATTCTCAGCCAACCAGATGTGCAGTTCAGTGAGACTGCCCAAGGTTGCCGTGCTGGTAGGGCCCTGTAGTGCCAGGGACTATCAGGGTCACCCCATCGATATCTGAGCACCCTCAGGGCTGCGCCCAGCGATGCTTGACAGGTTAAATAGTGCCCAGGATCAAACTCAGGTTTTGCATGCACCCTAAAGGCTATCTCCCCCATCCATCTTCATCTGTGTCTGATGCAGGAAGTTTCCAGTGCACAATGGCCTGGAGTCGTTTCTGGCCAGGTGACTCGCCATCATGAGGGCTGTTCTGTACACTGGGAGCAGCTGGCCTTTACCCGGCCTCTACCAGCGACCAGATGCCAGTAGGAGTCATGAGGAACAGAACTGTTTCCAGACACTGCCAAATGTCCAGAGGGACAATATCGCTCCTGATTAAAAATCACTGGCAAAATGCAATGAAGTTTTCAAATAACCACAGAAACACTTCCATAGAAACAAAGATAACAATGTTACAAAATAAATTTGTGGACTGCTGATCTCACTGCCTTGCAACAACAGGTCATCAATTTGCCAACTCAAATACAAAGTTGGATTTAGAACACATAAGTTTATAAAGCACTGATGTATAAGGTGGAAGCGATGGAAGGTTTGATGACCAAAAATACTAAACTCAAAGATCATAGAGCATTAAGAGAAATAAAAACCTGGGACAAGTAAATCTGACAGTAGTTGAACAAGTGGGATCTGGAGAAAGCAGAAGGTAGCAGTTTAGGATTCATCTTCAGAGGAATCATAGCTGAAACTATGCATATGGGTATACTACACATAAGAGTTTACCAAGTCATAAACTAAGTGAATAATAAGTGGAAATTTTTCGAATTGTGTGGCAACACTTACCTGAACCTCCTTGAGTCTGCCTTCTATTTGTGATCATTCTTTCTTTTTAAAACCAATGCTTTTAAAGGGTTTAAAGCTTGGGCTGGATAGAGAGCACAGCAGATAGTACTCTTGCCTTGCAGATGGCTGACCCAGGTTCAATTCCCAGCATCCTATATGGTCCTGAGCCCGACCAGGAAGTTTCTGAGCACAGAGCCAGAAGTAATCCCTGAGTACCACTGAGTATGGCCCCAGAATCAAAAATAAAGTACAAAATTTGAAAGCTCAAAAGAAACAATAGAAGTTCGTTCAGAGTAGTTAAGACAACTTCATATTCTAAAACTGATTATGGTCTCTGATTTCTTAATAGGTCTAACACATACACTGTTAAATTATTTAAAACAAAAAAAAACAAGTATTAACTTAGAGATTTTCAAACTTATTTGACCTCCAGCGCCCGCCCCCCCTTTCAGGGGAAAAAAAATTTACTCAGTTCCCCCCAGTAAATCTACCTTTTTTAAGAGAAGAAAGAGAAAGTGTCCCCACTATATCCCTGGACCATTAGTGCAGTCCTGGGGGCAGCATCTCTCTCTTTGGGGAACTGATCAAACTGGAAAATAAAATCAGAATGCTAAAATAATCAAATGAAGAACAATCGTTTCAGCAATTTCATTTCTGAGTATATATCCCAAGTAATAATGAACAGATATTTAACTTAAAATGTTCATGGCAGCATTACTAACAATAGTCAAAAGGTCAAAACAGCTCAAGTACTCATTGATACATGAATGGATAAACAAAATAGGGTATAAACATACAATGAATTGTTATTCAACAATCCAAAAAGGAAGGAAATTCTAACAGGCTTCAGCACAGACAATTCTTTAAGACATTATGGTAAGTGAATTAAGTCCATCACAAAGGACAGACATTTGGGTTCTACTACTGACTGAGGTTCCTGAAGCAGTCAGGACAGAGATGGAGGGAGACAGAGGGAGGCGGAGGAAGACAGACGGAGACATCAGCCATCTAAGGGCTGGAGGAGAGTGAAGGGAAGTCAGATGAAAAAGTTTGATAGGGCGGTTGTGATAATATTTCACAATAGTGTAAATGAACTCAACACCAAAAAGCTACATTGTAGCACTGTAGCACTGTCCTCCCTTGTTCATCGATTTGCTTGAGCAGGCACCAATAACATTTCTATTGTGGGACTTGTTGTTGCTGTTTTTGGCATATTGAATACATCATGGGTAGCTTGCCAGGCTCTGCCATGTGGACAAGATACTCTCGGCAGTTCTCCAAAAGGGGTGGAAGAATCGAACCCAGGTCAGCTACGTGCAAGGCAAATGCCCTACCCACTCCAGCCTAAAAAGCTACACTCACACATAACTGACAGGATGGTAAAACATGCTATTTTAGGACAAAGAAACAACATTAAGTCCATAATAGGATAAAGTAGCACTAACTAAAGATTTATTAAATCTTTATTTCTTTCTTAAGTTTTTCTCTAAGGAATATGAAAGGCAACAAAAGAATATATAAATATCAACTTTGTCTGTCACCTAAATTTAAGGAAAACATTACTGTCCATGCATTCAATACTCACAGCATCCTGAATTATTTCACTTTTCTCCTGATTTTCCTCTTGATAAATCCTCTCTTTCAGGCCACTCTTGGGACTCTAAAGGGGGGAAACGCATTCAGTACATTTCAATAAATCCACCAAAAAGGCCAAAAGAGAGAAAGTAAAAATGGTGTGAAATATTCTGAATTTCATGTTTGTATCTGAAACTATTCAGCAAGTTTCATATAATATCTCACTCTGCTACTTTTCTTGATTTTGGTAAATTACTTCTTTTCCAGATGTTTCAGTTCTTGGTTGATAAAAGAATACAGAGCAATTCCAGTTTACTTCTCTAGACTATAGGGCTAATTTTCACTCACTAACTCTTATTAGTTGTATTACACATCTTTAGGGACCAGACATAACGCAGGACACAGTGGTTAAGGTTTTACATGTGGCTGACCCTCCCGAGCCCTGGAACCACACGGTTCACCGAGCACAGCATTCCCATCACTGCAGGATCCTCATGTTGAACAACAGCCCATCTGGGTAGAGACTCGCCAGGGCAGCTCCAGCCCCGAGTCTATCTTTATTCTTCTCTTCTAACTCTCTCTCTGAAACTAGTATTTCTATGCAAGTTCAAAAGCATTTTAGTCTAATAATGACAACCCCTGTGCTCTCAAGAAACAGTGCGGTGTGGTGGAGACAAATCACGAAAAGAGTTCAGCAGCACTGGAAAGGGAGAATCGGACAAGGTCATCAAAAGTAACAGTGGCAGAACAAAGCAAAGCCCCTAGTAATCTAGATTTGACCCTTGGCTTCTAAAATAGTCTCTATCCAAGTCAGCCATGGCTGTTATGTACTGTTACATAATAACTGTCACTGTTCTCCCTAGGAAGCTTTGTTTATATTTAGAGGGCTGGCAGGTACTTTGGCGCTCAACAGACACTTATCACTTAATGCCTGGGGGAGTTTGGCAAGCTAGTTAACTCTCTTTGACTTGAGCATTACTTTTGTAAAGTTAAGATAACAATAACTGTTTGGAGAATTAACTAAAGAATGCAAAAAACTCATTAGGGCTTACAGTCTATATGCCCAATAAGTTTGACTATGACAATTTTACTCTTATGGTAAAGATGAAATTTTTATCAAAATCTTTAGCCTACCCAATTATAAAATTCCTATTACTACTTTTAAGGACAAAAAAAAAAATTTTCTCAAGTTTTACTAGCAGGAGGAACTGAGTCACTGAACCTGGTCTTTAAAATATTATTTAAATGATGCTTAAATCAGAGATTTTTTTGTTGGGTTGGTCTTTTTGTTTTTGGGTGACACCTGGCAGTGCTCAGGGATCACTCCTGACTCTGCCTCGGATCACTCCTGGTAGACTCTAGGGACTATAATATGGGATGACAGGGATTGAACCCAGGTCAGTCAAATGCAAGGCAAGTACCCCATCTACTCCAGCCCTAAACCAATGATTTTCATTTTTTTTAACCATAACACTCAAAGAGAGAAACTGTATGCTAATAATTACCATGTGTGTGCATGTGTATACTTATGTACATATAGTATTGTGTATGAATTAATAAAGTCACAAGAAGTTATATCTTCTACAAGAAAAACTATTTTTTATGTTAATCTTTTTTGGGTAGAGAAAGGTAAAATGCTAGTTCTAATTTACTATTGATTTCACGATACTTACAATTTTAAAATCATTTGGAATGCTTTCCTCATTGCTTTAAAAAAGAAAAATCAATTAGGCTATTATTCCCATTAATGCTCACCAAGTATTGTTAAAAATAATTAAGAGTGAGCTTAGTTTCTCTATATTTACATATGATCACGTAGAACATAGTAAGCATAGATAGCTTCTATGTATTTATATCATATTCACCTTAAAGTATTATCCTCAACAAATCTGTTCAATTGGCAATTTCTGGGTTAATCAAGAAAAGTGTTACTAAACTTGGGCAATTAACTGCATTTATCCAATAGGACAAAGTCTTTTCCTCTGTGTAATGGCAAAATGCCCCATGATTCAAGACTGAGTCATTCTGACCACAAATGGAATATTAACATGCTCTCAAAGATATCAACAGTTGGCCTCTCCGTTCAGAAAGCACTAGCATTAAAAACTTTTGTACCCACAAACAAGAATGACTGCTGGGAAATTCCATCTGCTCAAACGAAACATTTGGCAATGATGTCCAAGGGAAAAAGTGAACTCAGAAATAAAAAACTCTTACACAACAGTGTCCAGATTTTCTGGCCATCAAACTTGCTTATCTTCAAGATGGGAAAGATGACAAGTCACTAGTTAGAAAAGATTCTTAACTCACAAACTTGAAATCTTACCAAGAAGAAGACAACAAAATGAAATGAAGAATACTCACATCTGCATTGTCACTGCTACCTCGGGAGGCATCTCCACTGCTGTAGTCCAGTCTCCCGAGTCCATCCCCAGACTCTGCTTCAAGATCACTGCCTGTGAATGTGTCACTTAAAGGCTTGGAGGATGTGACTGTAGCTCCATCCTAGAAGAGATGAAATACATAAACACGCTTTTACCGCTTTCATTATTAACTACACAAACAGCTGAACTACAATTTAAATGTAGTCTGTTTCATGTGATCAAGAATGTTTTAAATACGTGTGTATATGTATTCCATTAGCAAAATATTTCAATCACATGTTTAATGCATACCAATAAAATCCAATTGAGAAGAATTACAGAATATGTAAAGCATTAAAACTTGAAGGCGTAAGTAAAATTTAAAAGCAGGAAAGTGATTTTTTTTTTTAGTGGAGAGAATTAAAGTTCAAACAACCAAATGAGCAAAAAGATACGATTTTGTTAATTTATAGTATCTGTATTTCCTAGTATCTGTATTTCCTGCATTTGTAAAAATTATTACGATATAGCTAGTAAAAATTATTAAAATATATCTTCTAGGTAACTGTATTCCAACACCTGAGAATTTCAATAAACTGCCAGTTCTGGGACATAATACTTTAACAAACTGTTATTAGCTTTAAATCAGGAACCACATTTTCACTATTCAGAGTAAGAATGTTGTCTTTGCTCAGTAATAAACAACAGCAAAAACAACAATATAATGCAGTCAATATTGCTGTAGCACAATAGTCAAAATGTCATACCGCTAAAGGGGCTGAAATAAAAAAATAGTGCGTAATGGGAAATACACTAGCACAGGAAATAGAAAGAACTTACAAGTATGTAACCTTCTAAAAGCAGTTCAGGCCCTCTTTTACTTAACAACATGTAGAATGATTTTTTAACTCTAAAATGAACAGATTATGTGTTTGAGGATGTGGCTCATGGAAAAGTGTGTGCATCTCATGTGTGAGGCCCTGGGATCAAGCCTCAGTGCTGAAAGATGTAAGTAAATAAATAAATAAAATGACCATTTTGGCTAGCTGATCACAAAGATTTCTTTCAGTTCTACGACTTCATGGCTTTCACTTACAGGCCCAATATAGAAAGGAAAAAAAACCTCATCAGCTTTTACCAATTTTAAATGGGATACTCTGTTTGCCCATTTTGCTTTAAGATGAAATATACAGAACTTTTACTATTCTAACTCTAAAAATTACAGTATAAAAAAATTACAGTATATAAATCTGGTTGACTTATGTAAATACTGAGCCGTTACTTTGAATGATACTGTTATCTCCTCAATTTACAACCACGTAGCATTCCATTGAAATGCTTTTGAAACTAAAATATGTAGTTATTAAACATACTTTTAATTCATCAGATTGAACTTGAATTCAAGTTCTATCACTTTTGAGCTACATGTAATTTAATCAAAGTTTCTGTAAGTGTATATGAAAACGGAAAAACAAAACTTAAGTGGGTTATTATACAGATTAAATGAGAATAGGCTTGTTTATATATTTTAGCACATATCTTACGTTCCTACTTAAAGTTCTCTTACATATGATAGAATGAATCTCAAAAATGTAAATATACATATCTAACTACTCCTTATTAGTTTTTCACATCAAAACAAAAGCACTTAATTTTTAGAAAAAATTATTATGGAACAAAGAAACATATAAGCAAGCAAACAGAAGGTAACATTTCTTTTAGTTAATAATTATTTTTATAACATTCTACACAGGACATCCTGTCAGTCTATGCTAGAAAAAATAACTTAGAAAAAAAGGCAACTACAATATTCTTTGACACATTCCCAGAAGAAAATTCTCCTGCAAAAGTTGGGTAGCACTTGGAACAATGATGCTACCTGAGCAGAGCCTGTGGCTTTGGATAACTGCTCTTGCAGCTGAGGAATGTGTTTCTTGGTCTCTTGGATCTCTTTTAGCAATCTTTGGGCAGGTGTTCGGTTGTAATCTTCCTGCAATAACTGAAAGTTATAAAAAATATTTTGAGAATTAATAACGGACGTCAGTAAGATATTTTAAAAGTCCATTCTTAATAAAAGATTTAATGGCACTGATTACAACGCTGTTGGACTGGGATTATGATAACCACCAGCTCAACTATGCCAACTCACATTTCCACTGGCCTGCACAGCCCCATTTCTGATTTAGTACCTGTAGCCGTTCTTGCTCTTTCTGTAACATTTTTCTCAGAATTTCTACTTTCTGGCTATGAACCACATTGTTTTCCTCCTAGAAAAAGATAAACAAACAAAACCAAAACAGGGAAAATGAAGCTAAAATGAGATAATGCGTCCACTCCAATTTTTAATATCTATTAAGATTTTTTTTAGTCCCAATTATTTTAAAGAAAGGCTTTTTTAGACATTTAAAACAGGTGAGGAGGAAATTTCAGCTTTCCACTTTCACTCTTACTAAAATTCACAATCAATCACAAATCATCCTGTTATTCATCGATTGCCTCAAGCAGGCCCCAGTAACGTCTCCTTCATCCTAGCCCTGAGATTATATTCAAGGCTCTTTAGGAGAATGAGACCCATCATTGTTACTGGTATTTGGCATATTGGGTACGCCACGGGGAGTTTGCCAGACACTGCCGTGTGGGCAGGCTACATTCGGTAACCTGCCAGTTTGTCCAAAGTAGGAATGAGATAATAAGATGTCATAATAAGATGTTGCGCAGCCGCGAATGCAGCCTCGCGGTTCCGGGAGCTGGTTTTTACAGTCTCTGAGTCTTGGCCGTTACTAAAATTAAGTTTTTTTTAAAGAAAACTAACTACCAATATCAGCTGGAAAAATGAGTTTCCTTAAGTACGAAACAGTTTTCTTATTCTGCTGGATCTTCACAGTTAGTTCCCATAAGTGGCCAAACTCCCCCATACTCCCATGCCTGCCACATATTCTCCTGTGGCAAAGCCACGGCTCACCCTGCTGGGAGCTGGGCTGGGCAGGTGATGGTAATTGGGGTCTCCCAGGTGAAGGTTCTGCACCTGAGCCACAGTCCTGACCCTACTTTAAATATTAAGACAATGTCCAACTCATCCCATGGTAGCCTCCTCTATGTCACAAACTATTTTATCAAATTAGTCTTCTAAATTCCCACTACAGTCACATTTCTCTCCTGCTTAAAAAAGTTTTAATGGATTTTTACTATCTAATTACATGTATATTGGCCTGGGAATTGTTGATTTTTTTTCAGAATATACAGTTTTGGGTCTCAGGCTCATCTCCCACTGCACACACCCTAAACAAGCACTCAGCAAACAAGCAACTGATCACGTTCCAAATGTACCTGGTACTTGGCTTGGCTATTTACCAACTTTCCCTACCTGGGTTGCTTTCTCCCCACTGCCATCACTTAATGTTACCTATTTTACTGTAGCACTGTCCTCCCATTGTTCATCAAGTTGCTCAAGCAGGCCCAGTAATATCTCCATTGTGAGACTTGCTGTTACTGTGTTTGGCATATCGAATACGTCACGAGAAGCTTGCCAGGCCCTGCCGTGCGGGCAAGATACTCTCGGTAGCTTGCTGGACTCTCCGAGAGGGGCGGAACAATTGAACCTGGGTCAGTATTTCAGGCTGGATTATATTATATTTCAGGCACTGGATTCACAATAAGAAAATGAAAAACTCCTGTCCTCTTAAAGTACATAATCTATGGTAAGTAAGGGCTTGAACAAAAGAGCTATCTTTAATATATTTTTGCAAGGGCACCATTTTATACACAGTATTTGTTTCATTAAACCTGTTAACCTAATACTCTGTAACGATTCTGAGTCACTATATAATTTTACACTAGGTTGTTGTTGAGAATCTTGAATTTAAATTTATCAGCTCAGCACCTCAAAAACAAAGCAGAAACACTGCACACCAGCCACGCCTTGGCAGAGCCTTACCCCCATGAGCACGGGACTAGTGATCCGCTCCATGTTCCCAGAGGCACCCGGCGAGTGAGGGGACGTCAGGAGGGGAGACATATGTCCAGTGGCTGGTGGCTCCACTTCAGACTCAGCGAGCGGAATCTGGGGCGACCCAGGAGGGCGTCCCTGAACAGTGAGAGCTACATAGGAACCAGCTGAAGGTGGGGCAGTGGGAGAAAAGAGAGTGGAGGGAAAACAACACCATCAGACTTTCTCACAGCACATCACTGCGTCAGTGCCACAGGAAAAGAACTGAGCATTCTGTCTTTAGCAAACAACCTAACTCTAAAGGAACAATGTCAATTTCCCTGAAATATCACCTACAGAGATCAGATATTCACTACAAGCCAACTAAATTTACAACCCCAAGATTATTTTTTAATTTAAAGAAGAATGAGTTCTTATAAAACACTTAGAAATGGCTATACTTAATTGATTTCTTAAACACAAATCTTTTAAATATGTCACTAATTAGGATGGGCTGACTAATGTCCTAAAGTACACTGATATCATACAAAATTAACTTTACAAAACAAAGAACAAAAAATATTCCACAGAAATATGAAGAAAAAAAAGTAAGAGGTTAGATTTGAATTTTAAAAAATTGAAGGAGAAGAAATTCATTAACTGTATAGTAGCATAAACACATTAATCTACCCAAGGGATTAAATCCAGTTCACAAATTATTTTGGTAAATTACATTTTGTTGAAGCCACCACGCCCATTCATTTAGGTTTTTTGTCTGCCAAAGTAATCTTTCAGCCATGTGCAAGGCAAGCATCTTATCGCCATGCTCTCTCTCAGCCCATTCCCATTCACTCTACTTTGCATTCATAGCTGCTTTCTTGCTTCAATGACAGAATCTAGCAGAACGCCATATGGCCCACAATGTCTAACATACTGACTGGGCCTATAAAAGGAAACGCTTGATGATCATTTCTTGAAGGGCTCCAGAAAACAACTAAAATAACAATCACCTACATTTGATTAGCTTCACCACCTCCAAATGATTCGAATGAGTCACCAGAGTTCCATTCACCTGTAAGAAAAGGAAAATAGTATATGTCAGATACATTCTACTGAGATAATGGATAAACTGACTTCAGGAATTATTATATATACTATAACCAATTATAACAGTAAATGAGTCATGTTAAAATATGTGTGTGTTTACTTGGTGAGTATGTATATATATGACATATACATACATTTTAATATTTCTTTTACTACTATTCTATACGGCAGTATTTCTCAACTGGAGATCATATGTCTCCATAGGTCCCCAGAATATTCCAAGAGGGCCACAGGTGAAAATCCCATAAATGACAGGTCAGACTACGGGACCAACCCATAGGGCAGGGAGTACCACAGGAAAAAAACAAGGTTGAAAGGGGACCACAATCAGGAAAAGAATTAGAAACACTGCCATAAGCCAGCCTTAATTTAAATTACTTCTTATAAGAACAAAAGACAAAACATACCATGCAACAGATTTACAAATGCTTCCACATTGAAGAACTCTTGTAAATAGAAAAGTTTACATACTTTTAAATTTGTCAAAATCATAATAAATATTTCAAAAGATGGAAACAATTGTGGAAATTATAAAAATCTACGAAAAAATCTCAATGTAATTTTAGCTCTTATTTAGATAGGCTAAATGGTATCCAAGTCTCCACTAAATCATTCAAATTAAAACTATAAAACATGGATCTGCCATCTGCCATTAATCTTTTCTTTAATATAAGTAAAACTAATTTCTACAAGTTGACCTCTTGGTGTGTGAACAGAAGCACACATGCTTATTAACCATGCTGCTAGAGACTAGACACACAAACACATCATAGTTGCTCTCCCGCCCCCACCCCCCCGCCCCCCATGGTTGCTCTTTTCCCTTAACTACTTTACTGTAAATACCTTTCAGCGGGGAGGGACCTCCCAGTGATACTTGACCAACTGGGCCATGTGGTTCAATGCAAGGGACCAATGGTGTAGCATTACTTGGACTCAGTGGTGCCAAGGGCTACCAGAGCCAGCTGGGGCTCAGGACATGTGCATGCAAAGCTGCTCCCCAATCCCTGAGCTAGCTCCTTGCCCCTTACCCTTTTTTTGGTGCTGGGAATCAAAACCAGGGCCTCCCACGTGCAAGACAAGCGCACCACTGCTGAATACCTCTCAACCCACACCTTTCAACAGAGGTAAGCACAGCCCTGGTTCTTCCTTTCAAGAGAGGCAAACACAGACCTATTTCTTAAAGTTGCAAGTGAAGTGCAATTTATGTATCAAGTCTCAGCTGATCTACTTTTGTATTCTGTTTTGGTTTTCGGACAACACATGGCACAACTCAGGAATTACTCCTGGCAGTGCTCAGGGGACTAAATGGGATGCCAAGGATTGGACCAGGAAGACTGCGTGCCAAACACCCTATCCTCAATACCATCTCTCCACCCCCTCGGCTCATCTACACTAGATCTAGTTTACAAGTTTCGACATGACAGAAGTGAGTTCATTTCCATATAGATATGGAAAAATGATAAGATCTCACTTTTTACATTCATCACTTTAGATAATTTCCTAAAAGCAAAATGACTAGACATGTAATATATATTTCCAAGTATATTTAACTTTTGACACACATATATAAATTTCTACACGAACAGATTCTACCTTAAACCCACACAGGTTTGTATGAAGTCATTTTACCACACCCAAAACAAGCCAAATGTGTATTCCCAGTTCATGAAACTGACAACCAAATCCATATTAGACCCTGCTGTATGTTTCAAGAAAAAAGTTTGGGTTTTGTTGTTGTTTGTTTTTGAGCCACACCCAGTGGTGCTTGGGAGCTACTCCCATCCCTGTGCTCAGGGGTCACCCACTCCTAGTGCTCAGGCTTGTGAAGCATGGACCCCAACCCTCTGAACTACCACGTTGGGACCTTGAATATTTTTTTCCTAGGTTGTTCTGTGTAAAATGTGTCCATGGGAGGTCCACACAAGTTTTGCATGCGGGAGGCCCAGGTTCAGTCCCCAGTACCACACAGTCCGCCAAGCACAGAGCTGGGAGGAACCCCAAGCATTACCAGGTGTGTGGCCCATAACAGAAACAAAAATATGCTCGTGGTGGCTTTCTTGTATACAAATTTGACTTTAGCAATCAATTAACTGTCTCAACAGCAGTAAATAATTATTCTTGCCCTCCAAATTGGAATTCTGTTCTGACTCTACTATATTCTGCTAACAGAGCTGATGGGTCTAGACACTAGAATAATTTGCTTTAAGTGAAGCCACACCAACTCATATTATACTCTCATACTTACTCACATACATAACCTATCTTTCTGAAATTCTTTTTTTGTTCTTTTTGGGTCACACCTGGCGAAGCACAGGGGCTACTCCTAGCTCTGCACTCAGGAATTACTCCTGGCAGTGCTCAGAGGACCATATGAAATGCTGGGAATCAAACCAGGTCGGCCGCGTGCAAGGCAAACGCTCTACCCGCTGTGCAATCAACTCCAGCCCCAAAGATTTTTGATCCTTTATAGAAGTTCATTTGGGGGATAATTATTAATACAAATAATACTGTACTTTCCCAGTTCTATTAATATATTTTGATAAAAATTTCTTAGAAACAGATTAATTCAGGTTTTTAAAAAATGGTTTTGGGGCCACATGCTCAGGGGTTACTCCTGGCTATGTGCTCAGGGATCACTCCTGGAGAGGCTCAGGGGACCATATGGGATGCCAAGGATTGAACCCAGGTCAGCCTGTGCGAGGCAAGCACCTTGCTCACTCTACTATCGCTCAAGCCCAGGTGACAGATTAATTTGGAAATTCTCTTTCACTTATCCAAATTCATTTTTTTATATATGAACATTTATCCTTCAGTAAAGGGAAATGTTCATTTTGAAATGTGAATTGAGATTTCATAATCAACAAATTTATCACATGTAATGTTTTGCTCTTAATATAAATTCTGGCCAGGGACTGAGAAGAGAACTCAGTGGCTGGGGTAACATGTTTTGCGTGCACTAGATTTGAGTTTAAATCTGGCACCACACAGTCCCCCACACACTGACAGGTGTAGCCCCGGAGATCCGCAGGCTCCTGAGTGTGGCACTGGTGGCTCAAAGCAGCACAGGGCCCTAAATGTTCCACATCCTAACATTAAAGCACGTGGACTGTTGGCAGATCACCACCAGGAGTGGCTACAGAATAAAATCTTAGTTTTTTAAAAACTCAAAATATGAGGGGAAGGAGCAATATAGTACAGCAGGTAAGGCACTTGCTTTGCATGCAGCTAACCCGAGTTCAACCCCTGGGATTCTGAATGGTGCCCCACGCACCAAAAGGTTGTCACTGCCTAGTGCAGAGCCAGGAGTAACCCCTGAACATCACTAGGTATGGCCCAAAAACCAAGATTAAATAAATAAAAGTAAATAGTCAAAATATAATCAACATGGACTATTTTATAATTCAACCACAAATTCCAAAGTCTTTTTCTTACCTTGATGATTCGATCACCTGTCTGTACTCCAGCCCGCATGGCTGCTCCATCTAAAAGAGAAATACATCACCTCAGATGCCATTCATTTCTCTACACCAACAGTCTTGAGAGATGGGCAGCATAACAAAGTGGCTAAAAGCATGGGTAAGTCTCAAGTAAGACTTAAGATGAAATCTGACATTACCATCCACTAGTAATGTGACTTTGAATCATGTCTCTGTCTCACTATCTGTCTCTTTCTTTTTTTTTCAGCATTGGGGATGAACCCAGGTCTTTCATATGCGAGGCATTTACTTTATCACTGAACCACATCCCTTGCCTGACTTGTATCTTATTTGAACTCTAAACATCATTATCACCTATAAAATGTGGTGATAGCTACACAACGCCTACTTCAAATTACAGGACCCAACACACAAGCTGGTGAAGATATTACTATTGTCAATCAGAGAAAAGAATAGATCTTCTTGAGTCTTAGTCATCTTTTTAATTTGTCTTTACATCGCTAGTGTCATGAAAAATAAAATTCCACAAAGTTTTATAAGTTTAAATGGAGAAAGCATCATGGCCAAGAATTCTTATCATTTCTCAAACTATGTAAAAGCTGTTCTGTCTCTATAAAGCACAAGGAAAATAAACTAGGAAAATGATGGCCTCTAATTATGACACTACAAATTCAGCACAACAGGTCACATGACCTGCAATCTAGAAATGAGTGAAGTTTCCCAGTAGTTGTGACAGGACTATTTTGAAAAATGCCTTGCCTTCTTTGACAGACTGTACGAAGACTGGATTGTCTCCACTGACCGTCAGCCCAAATCCGTTGTCATCCTTCTGGATGATCACACAACGCTGAACAAGACCTGCACGAGAATCATGGGATGAGAAGGAAAAAAGATAAAGAGAAAAAATACAATAATTACAAATCAGCAACAGACAGCATTCTATCAGGAGAAACCAAGGTAGCACACAAAACCCATACAGAGAATCAAAGAGCACTAACCCCATACACAAAACACACACGAGAATACTGTAGAGTCCTGTAAATTTGCTTCTTACTGGGGCGGTAAAGAGATGCTTCAAGACTGAAAACAGCTATGGCAAACTGGAAAAGGTGAAGTGTAAGAGAGGGAAGAGTTTAAAGAAAAGCCTGTTCCCTTTGATTCTATCTATGACATGAAATCCTCCCCACCAGTTTTTTTCGGTGCTCAAATTCTTACTTGCTCCCCCACTCTGTGGCTAGGAATATTCCATGAATTTCTAGAGAAATCCAATCTCACTCTTAGAAAAATGTACTCAGGAAAACAAGACAGGAAGGAAGTACAGGCAAAGAGCCTGCATTGCTCTTCTTTATAAAAGGAGAGAAAAGGGGAACATTTCAAAGGGAAGAAGGACCCAGACTCACAGAAAAAATAAGAGGAGGAAAGATGCAGACATAATCTGTGAGCTCAAACAATTCTGTACCCTCTCTCATAAACTTACCTGATTTCTAGAGGTGAATGTCTCCTCTCTATTTAAACAGCAAATGAAAATTGTCAAGGGCAGATGAGAGGAAAAGGGCCAAACCCAAAGAAGTAGGCAAGTCTCATGACAGAGTCCAGTTTAGGACAGTCTGCCACAGATCAGATCTGAAGATCTTGACTCTCTGTTGGCCAAGACTTAACATACATGTTCAGCTTCGCCAAATCTAAATATTTAATCAAATACCAATATATAAAACATTTACAACACCACAAGCATAATGGTGGTCAGAAAATTAAGGCTTCAAAATAAAGCTTTTCTATAAAGAACCACATCTCTTAAATAAATCTGATTTATGGACCAAAGGATATGCTAAAAGAGCACACATTAATGACTACGTATACATGCATATATGATCATAGTATACATATCAAATGTGTATGTGCATATGTATTTTTTCTTGCTGTTAATGAAATGTCATATGTCAGTCTACGGTAAATAAAAAACTGGAATAACCAGATCCTGATATGAGAAACAAACCATCAGTTCATAATCCTACACAACAATCAACTTAAAAGAGCTCCAAAGACAATGATAAGAAAATGAAAAGGCAAGTCACAGACTAAGGGAATTATTCACAATATAAATATTAGGTAAAAGACTTCAATCCAGATTTTACTAACCAAAAACAAAATAGAAGCAAATTTTACAGCAGAATTGGAGGACAAATTCTTTAAAAGACAACAGGTTTGAATAAAGAAATCACCAAAAAAGTTAAGTCAATGACAGTAAGCACATGCAAAGGTATTCAACGTCTGCAGTCATCAGGAAAACATAAATTATAACCATAAGATAATTCTATAAACTAACTGGGATAGCTAAAAATGAAAGACTGATAATAATGTCAGCAAGAATTTGGAACTCTCATACACTGCTGGCAAGAGAGTAAAATGTGGTGTAGCCATGAAATGAAGAATCACTTACCAAGTACAAAAAAAAGGAAGTAGGCAGACATGCAGCAAAAGGGATGAATCACAAAAAAGATACAAAATCACATAGTATATGATTCCAGTATGTAACAGGTAAAGCGAAGCTAGAGTGACAAGTAGCATATGAATGGCTCCCTAGAGGCTGGGGTGGGAAAAGGAGTAAGAAAGATTGCAAACACACCAAGAGGAACTTTTCAGAATGACAGATATACTCTATGTCTTAATTGAGATAATGGTTGCATGAGTATATTCATTTGTCAAAACTCATCTAAGTCTGCTTAACACAGGTGCATCTTACGTAAATTGTACCTCCAGAAAGTTCATTTTCAACATTAAAAATGTGTTACCAGGCAAGGGATCTGCCTTTTGAAAAGAGTATTAGCTATTCATGCGGGAAACCCTAGGTTAAATTCCTAGCACTGTCTGATCCCCAGAACACTGCTGGGAGAGACTCTTGTGTGCAGCACCTGCAGTGGTCCCAGCCAATGGGGTGGCCAAAAAATAAAAGAAAAAAAAAGCTACCCCTTCAATTCTAGAGACTATTAAGTACTAAATATTGCTTGAATTTCACTTATCCGCCCCCCCACCCCCACAGGAGGGCAGACTGTGGGATTTTCCCTGCTGTTTTTGAGACCTCCTCAGTGGGCTACAGGTTCTGATGATTCTGTGCATGAGGGATCCAATACTGGGGCCTGACCTTGGAGTCTTGTACATGTCAGGCATGTGCTCCCCTGAGTTACCTCCCTGACCCCCTAAATAGATTATAAAGAGAGCAAAGGAGAGATAACCCATACAAATTCAACCTTTTTTTAATTCTGTTTCCTTCAAGCAATTCAGAAGAAACTGTAAAGGGAATGGGTATGAATACATAAAACTAAGGTAAAGGGCACCCTGTATAAATTCCTAGTGTAAAATTTAATAAATGTAAGATACAGAGAACTGGACTGGAGAGACAGCACAGCAGGAGGCCAACCTGGGTTCAATCACCAGCACCCCAAATGATCTCAAGAACCCACCAGGAGTGATTCCTGAGGAGAGAGCCAAGAGTAAGCCCTGAACACAAGCGGGTGTGGCCCAAAAACCAAAAATAAATAAGTAACATAAATACCCTAACAACTCTAAGTAACGCTGATATACATGCATATACGTAGATATTTATCACATAAACACTTTTCACAGATATCGTCATACTCTATCCAGCCTTCCCTCCAGTTCTCTTTCTAATGCACCCTCCTAGGTTATGAAAATAAGTGAATTAGAGATTTCTAATCTTGGATTTTTCTATAGTAAACCACTGACTGTTTTCCCCTTGCAGTGGCAGGTGTGAAACCCAGGGCTACACTCAGGCAAAGCCGGTACTTCATCACTGTATGACATCCTCAACTTGCTGAGCAGTTTCTATACCCTGCATATACGAGGGGGATGGGTAGTGGGGATTAAGTGCTTTTCTGTATTTACAGAGTTTACCTGAATACGTACATACATAAATATATATGCATGTATATATGTGTGTGTGTGTGTGTGTACATATGACCTTTTGCTTAATACTTGACAAAACAAAACAAGGATTTATCGATATTATGAACTATTCTGGTTGGGGGCAGCTGTCCCTGATTCTTACTTAGAACTCAATAGTCCAGGCCATCAGCTAAAAAATCAATAAGGTGCTCCCTTGGGAGGGCTCGAGACATGGTTCATGTGCCGGCACGTTGTCTTGCACGTGTGAAGCTCTGGGCTTGATTCCTCACCACATACTCAGCACGGCTGGCTGAGCCCTGACAACCCCCCGCAGTGGAGACAAGAACCCTTCTGCGCTGGGAAATCCCTCGAATGGCACAAATGTTTTGTGAGGAACTCATGTCTTGTTGACCTTCACATACGTTTTGTTTGGCTTTAAGAGACAAGCAAACGTGTTTGGGGTAACGAAGAAAGAGAACGGGCATTTACAGAGCGGGGCTTCTTGTGACAGGTAATTTTCGGGACAACAGAAAGCCTAAAGAAACACATCCCCTCTTCCGAGAAGCTCTTCCTGGCCCTTCAGCCTGGACGTGAGCTGAGCAGGAAGCCTCGGTACCCAGAACCCCTTGGGTGCTTCTCCTCTTGGGTCAGATAGCCCAATACAGGGCCTGATCTTGTTTATAGTCTTTTCACTAAACCTGGCGCATTCTGGCACAGTGGTAAGCTCTCAAATTGCTAAAAAATGAATAAAAATCAGAAAATTAGAGAATCTAGATGACTGGAAGCTCAGAAAGGCAACTGATCAGAGGGGGGGAAACAGCACACCACCCTCAACTTCAGCAAACATCCTTGGGTCCTAAATTGAGTAAATATATTAGGAATACATCAGAATGCCATAAACCTATCTTCATCAATTCAAAATTATTCACTTTAATAACTTTCCTTTTTAGCGATAGCACAGCGGTAGGGTGTTTGCCTTGCACGCGGCCGACCTGGCCGACCCGAGTTCAATTCCTCCGCCCCTCTCGGAGAGCCCGGCAAGCTACTGAGAGTATCTCGCCCGCACGGCAGAGCCTGGCAAGCTCCCCGTGACATATTCGATATGCCAAACACAGTAACAACAAAGTCTCCAATGGAGACGTTACTGGGCCTGCTCGAGCAAATCGATGCACAACGGGAGGGCCTTTACCTTTACCTTTTAATTCTATATCAAAAGGTCATGAAGAAAAAAGTATTAAAGGAGAAAAGGGGCAAGGGCTTTGCACCCACCTAGCCATCCTTCCCCCCAGCAACCCCAGACCCACCCCTATTTATCATTACTCTGTTAATCAAGAATACATGTTCAAATAATTAGAGTTGGCTCAAAATCAAGGGAATTCAAATTAATGACACTGTTCTGCCTTATGGACCTATGCTAGCTGCATACCCTTCAAAATTCAGAAAACCAAGTCTCTAGAACACTTAAGATCAATTAAGGTTCTTCCCTGAAAATTCAAATGAAATGTGTCTTCTTTTTCTGGAGAAAAATATTCTACTTACTGTAGATCAGGGGCCGGAACAATAGCATAACGGGTAGGGCGTTTGCCTTGCACACAGCCGACCTGGGTTTGATTCCTCTGCCCCTTTCGGAGAGCCTGGCAAGCTACCGAGACTATTCTGCCCGCACCGCAAAGCCTGGCAAGCTACTGGCAAGTTATTTTATCCCTCCCCAACCTTTTAACACAAAGATCAAGTTCTCATGATTAATATCATCAATACAGACTAATTTAGTTGGCCTATCTTTGAAATGTCCTTTTTGACAAAGAATCTATTTCTTGGTTTTAGCAACACCATATTGATAGTATCTCCATATTGATAGTAAATATTAAATATTTAATACCTCAGTTTTCATGATGAGGAATTTTAAAAAAACTGACTAAATCACAGCAGGGAAAAGACAACAGAGAAACAAACAA